TATTATATTAAAAGCCCTAGGGGTTAATATAACCCTAAAATATATTAAAGTATTCTTAGATAAAAAATGTAAGGTATGTCTATTATCTAAAGATAATAGATATATATATAGGAAGTTAAATAATCCTACTAAATATAATATTTTAGATAGGATTTATAGTGATTTAGGTAGACTATTACTACCTACCTATAATAAATATAGGTATTATATTACCTTCTTAGATAAAAAATCTAGATATCTATAGATTACCTTACTTTATTCTAAAGATAGTACTTATAAAGTATTTGAAAATTTTAAAGCCTTAATAGAAAACGCTATAAATAAAAAGATTAAGTAATTCTTTACTAATAAAGGTAGAGAATATATTAATAAACCCTTTTAATTAGCCCTAACTAAATATAGTATTAGTTATATAACTACCCCTAGTTATACTAAAGAACCTAATAGGTTAATTAAAAGAATAAATCTTACCTTATTTAATAAGGTAAGAGTAGTACTTATTTAATCTAAAAGCCCTAATTATCTATAGGGAGAAGTACTCTAAGCTATTACCTATATATATAATAGGACCCCTTATAGGGCTTTAGGATTTATAACCCTATATAAAGTATTAAATAGGGTAAGACCTAATATATCTAATATTAGGACTTAGGGCTCTCTAGCCTATTATTATATAAATATATATAAAATAAAGCTATCTCCTAGAAAGGAAGAAGCTATATTAATAAGTTATAGTAATTATAACTATTATAAATTATAGGACTATAAAAGACGAAAATACCTATAGTCTAAGGATATTACTATATATAAAAATACATTTAGTAATATAAATCCCGATAATATTAAGGCTATTATTAATAGCTCTAATAGTCCTAATAAGTAAAATCTAAGCTCCTTAAACCCTAGGGAAGCTAGTATAGATCCTATTAATCCTATTAAGGATAATAAAGATAGTAATAATAATAAAATAATAACTAGAGGAGAAACCTCTAGAATTACTACTAACCTTAATTATAGGGTAGAGGTGTAAATCCCTATATTATATACTATAAAGGATACTATACTAGCTAACTATATTAGCTCTATAGAGACTAATATAGATAGTAGGTTTATACTAACTACCTCGCTATTATCTAAACCTAATAGCTTTGATAAAGCTATTAATAGTCCTAAAAAGGATAAATAGTTTAGGGCTTGCCTAGTAAAGGTAAAAGAGTTAGAAAAGTAAGAAACCTATAAAATAGTTAATATACTACCTAATATAACCCCTATTAGGGATAGATAGGTTTTTAAGAAAAAACCTATTAATAGTCCTAATCTAGATAAGGACTATATAACTAATAGTAATAGGACTATTAGATATAAAGCTAGGTAGGTTATTTAAGGATTTTATTAAAAACTAGGTATTAACTTCCTAGAAACCTTTTCTACTACTTATAGAATTGAGTCTTAGTATCTAATATTAATAATAGTAGTTAATAAAGGCTAGTACGTACTATAATATAATATTAAAAATGCCTTTATATATACTAATATAGATACTAATATATATACTATCTTACCTATAGGAGTATATAATAACCTAAAAAAGTGCTACTATTTAAAGAAAGTACTATATAGTCTAAAACAAAGCCCTAGGCTTTAATATAACTATCTATCTAATATATTAGCTAAATTCGGATTTAGGGTTTTTATATACGATAAAGGTATATATATAAACCCTAAAGATAAATATATATTAATATATTACGTTAATAATATATTAGTAATATATAAGGATTTAAGCTATATATATAATATAGTAGCTAAAATTAGTAACTATATAAAGATAGAAGAAATTAGTATAGTATCTTTATTTTTAGGTAATAGTATAACTATTAACTATAAAGATAAGATACTATATATAGACTAAAAAGGGTATATAGAGAAGATATTAACTAAATTCTCTATATATAATAATCTTAGTTATAAGCCTATTAAAATACTAGGTAAACCGGGGCTAAAGCTTAGAAAAAGCACTACTATAGCAAGCCCTAATAATATTAAAGAATATTAGAAATAAATAGGGTCTTTACTCTATCTAGCCCTAAAGACTAGGCTAGATATAACCTTTGCTACTATATACTATACTAGATATATAAGTAATCCTAGTAAAGACTATTTTATAGCCCTTAATAGGATCTAGAAATATCTATTAGTATATCCTAATATAGGACTAGTATATAATTACTTAGGTAATAACCTTTATATTAAAGGTTATTCTAATACCGATTAGGGTAATAATTTAGATTAAAGAAGATCTATATTAGGCTATATATTTAGCCTAAGCCCTAATATAGGGCTAAATAACCCTATTAGTTAGAATTCTTAACTATAAAAATCAATAGTACTTAGTAGTTATAAAGCAGAGTATATAGCTCTAAAAGAGGTTACTAAAGAAGCTATATATCTAGCTAATATATTTAATTCTTTAAATATAGAGCTAGACCTAGGGTATATAAATACTATACCTACTATCTTAGTTAATAGTGAATTAGCTAAGAAGCTAGCTAAGAATCCTAAATTTTATAAGCGATTAAAGTATATTAAAATAATATATTATTTTATAAGGTAAGCTATATTAGAAGGTAAGGTAACTATTAATTAAATACCTTCTAAATATATACTAGTAGACTTTTTAATAAAGAATATTAATAATATCTTATATAAAGCCTTTATAGATCTAGCTAATCTAGATACTATATAAGGGCTTATATATATACTACTATTATACTATATACTTATAATCCTTATAGAGGTTATAAGGATTAAGGGGGGGTGTGAGTATAATAGTATATAATAGTAGTATAAGTAAGATATATATATATTTATAGTGTGTGAGAAATGAGATATATATTACCGGTACTATCTAAGCAATCCTTAGATATATAATATACGGTAAACTATATTATGAGTCACTTAATATCGCTATAAATAATAAAGTTATTTTATATTATTAATTATTATTAATGGCTTTCTATAACATTCTATACTGCTAGTATTTGCCTTCTAACTAGCTATATAAAGAATGATTATTTTTACTAGCTAGTATAAATAAAAAATAATAATAATAATAATATATTCACCCTCTATCTATCCTAAAATAGCTAAGTATAGTCCTCACTATATCTTATATAATTATATTATATAAGATATAAAGCTTATCTAATCCAACTTCCCTACTAAATATTATAACCTATCCTTAGGCTATAATATATTATCTGCTAAATTGCTGACAATAAGGTTAGTACTTAAAGGCGCTCTAATTTAAAAGAAGTAAGGAAGTATAGTAAGCCTAGTAATAATTAATTTATATTATATTAGTATAAATATATAATAACTATAAGTCCCGAGGTTAGTTTATAAAGGCTTCTAAAGCTTAATTTTCTAACCCTAGTTAAAAAACTAATAGTTATATTAAATTATTATATAAAGGCTTCTATTACTATTTTCTAACCCTAGTTAGAAAATTAACTATCGAGTTAAATTATTATATAGAGGCTTCTAAAGCTCAATTTTCTAACCGAGGTCAGAAAATTAATAGTAGTGCTAAATTATTATATTAAGGCTTCTAAACCTACTATATACTAATACTACTACTATATATATATAATTAAATTACTTAAAAATATAGAGAAAAAATGCACAAATAATGTAAGTCACGAGGTTAAGAAATTTTGCTTACTAAAAAGGCCCACGGGCGCCTATAACGCCCACAGCCTGTGGGCCCTAAGGGTAGGGCCCGTCCATGGGCCTATCCATAGGGCCCATTTCCCGCTTACATAAGGCCCATGGGCTATGCCCACCCGCCCGTCCATGGGCGATGTCGCAGTCTAGTTAGAATATCTAGTAAATGAGGGGCTATAAATTTTGTTATAGGTAGGTAGATAATCTAGTAGATATAACCGGTCTAGAATATTTTTGCGAATGTCTAGGTCGCTAGAGCTCCTTTGTTCCTAGGAGTAAGTGGTAGTAGTAAGAGCGATAGTCTGTTAGGAATTAAGTGAGAAAGAAAAATCAGAATAAAACACTAAATTGGATTTATAAACTATTTTAACTGGACTTTTCTGGAATATTCCTTAATATTGTAGAACTAAAAATAGAGGGTTGGATATTTCCTGTAACTATGTAGAGATAGTATTGTGAATGCGAGACTTGACGAGCTAAATAGTGGTATAGCTGTAGAATAGTAATGCTAATAAATATGGCCATACTGTGCATTTGCCTCCTAACTAGAGGCGAAATAACTAGGATCGACCGCCACATTGATAACGCCAGCCTTTCGTTGAGGGGACAACGGTCAAGAGTGCTGGGTGAACGACTGCATTGGGATGTGGCTAGCGTGGTGCATTTTATTGAGGTGAGCTGCTGACTTAGCTGCTCCAACTTTGCTCAGGTGACGCTCAGTGAGCAAGCCCTTGAGCTTATGTAATAATCAGGTCGTGCTTAGTGAGCAAGTCGGAGGACTCAGGTCACGCTCAGTGAGGGGGATCATCCGGCTTATGTAATGATCACCCGATGCTCAGTGAGCAAGTTTAATGATTATGTAATACTCAGGGGCGTGCTCAGTTTTACTCAGTGAGCAAAAAGCGGCTAGGAGTGAGCACTAAAGCGGAAAGGGAAAGCCATCTCGCTCGGCCTAAAATCCGGTGCATATGTGATCTTGAAAACACTGCCCCGATAAAGCACGTGGATAGGGCTAGGAGATGCGGGGATCCTGGTAGGCCCCCACCAAGCCGGGGAGTCTCCGCCGCAACGTATCGGGAGTGTTGGGATGTCAGAGGCTCGGGGCAATCGCGTTTAGAGGTCATAGTGAAACATGAGTTCGACGTAAAAAGTTCGAGATCGACTGCGGAGGTACTTATATGTAGTCGCCGCATGGTCTACTTCTGTTCGCTCATAGAGATTACAAGCATAGATTTCTTTTTTTAGTGACATTGTTACTTTTCCAAGTGTTCACTATGCCTGAGACATTCGATGTAGACCATGTTCTAGCAAACATCAGCGAGCAGGACAAAATTGCTATTTTATCCGGTAACGCAGACACGGTGATCTTTGAGGTCATCATCCGCTAACGAAAACAGGAATTGATTTCTGGCACACACATCCTATCCCCGAATTCAACGTTCCCTCAATTCGCGCAACCGACGGTCCCAATGGTATCCGGGGCACGAAATTCTTTGCCGGCATCCCCGCCGCATGTTTGCCCTGCGGTACAGCTCTCGGCGCCACCTGGGATCGAGATCTGATATACAAAGCGGGGGAGTTGTTGGGTGATGAGTGCATTACGAAAGGGGCGCATTGTTGGCTGGGTCCGACAATCAACATGCAGCGTGCACCCCTCGGTGGCCGCGGGTTCGAATCGTTTGCGGAAGATCCGCATCTCTCGGGCATTCTGGCTAAATCAATCATCCTCGGATGTGAAAGCAAAGGAGTCATTTCCACAGTAAAACATTTTGTGGGCAACGACCAGGAACATGAACGCCGGGCAGTGGATGTCCTCGTCACTCAGCGAGCCTTGCGCGAGATCTACCTACGACCCTTCCAGATTGCGGCGAGAGATGCGAACCCCGGCGCGATCATGACCTCGTATAACAAAATCAATGGGAAGCATGTGGTGGAAGATGCGCGCATGATCAATCTCATCCGTGAGGAATGGAAGTGGAATCCGCTAGTTATGAGCGACTGGTACGGGACCTACACAACCATCGACTCCATGAATGCGGGCCTCGACCTAGAAATGCCAGGTGTGTCCAGATATCGGGGAAAGTTTATCGAGTCCGCGGTGCAGGCTCGACTGATCAAGCAATCGACTATTGATGCACGAGCGCGAAAGGTTTTGGAATTCGTGAAGCAAGCGAGTCAGGTCCAAGTTTCAGAAGTGGAGCAAGGACGGAATTTCCCAGAGGATAGAGCTTTGAATCGCAAAGTCTGTGCGAACAGCATCGTCCTTCTCAAGAACGAAGGCATCTTGCCCCTCTCAAGGGAGCTCAAAAAGATCGCCTTAATTGGATCTCACATGAAGACACCCGCAATATCGGGTGGTGGCAGTGCGTCACTTGAGCCATATTACTCTGTCTCGTTATACGACGCCTGCAGGGAAGCACTTCCCAACGCGGAGATACTGTACGAAGCAGGTGCATACGCCCATAGAATGCTCCCTGTGATAGACCGTCTCCTAAGCAATGCTGTCATTTTTTTCTACAACGAGCCAATGGGCGAGGAACGACATTTACTCAGCACTGAGCCTGTATCGACGACAGCCTTCCAGTTCATGGACTACTATGCTCCCGGCCTCAACCGAGGACTTTTCTGGGCCACGCTGATTGGCGACTTCACACCTGACTCCTCTGGACTTTGGGATTTTGGCCTGAGTGTGTTCGGTACCGCAAATCTCTACATTAACGACGAGCTAGTGATCGATAACACCACGAGCCAGACACGCGGGACAGCATTCTTTGGCAAAGGCACCATCGAGGAGCTGGGATCAAAAGAACTAGTTGCTGGAACTACATACAAGATTCGGATTGAGTTCGGCTCTGCTAACACTAGCACAATGAAAAGCGTGGGAATGGTGAATTTCGGTGGCGGCGCCGCAAATCTTGGGGCTTGTCTACGGATGAACCAGGATGAAATGATTGAGAATGCCGTGAAAGCTGCCGTAGAGGCCGACTACACCATTCTTTGCACCGGGCTCAACAAAGACTGGGAATCTGAAGGGTTTGATCGCACACATATGGATCTGCCACCGGGAGTTGACCAGTTGATCTCGAAGGTGCTGAAGGCTGCCGGAGACAAGACTGTCATCGTCAATCAATCCGGCACACCAGTTACGATGCCGTGGGTCGACCAGGCCCCGTGCATTGTGCAGGCCTGGTATGGAGGTAACGAGACAGGTCATGGAATTGCCGATGTCCTCTTCGGAGAGGTCAACCCATGCGCAAAGCTGCCCTTGTCCTGGCCAGCGGATGTGAAACACAACCCGGCCTACCTGAACTATGCTAGTGTAGGTGGTCGAGTGCTGTACGGCGAGGACATCTATGCGGGTTATCGATTTTACGAGAAGACTGGACGAGAAGTCCTCTTTCCATTTGGGTAAGTTGGTTCCTCCGTCTCCTAGTCTCATCTAACCGTATTGTAGTCATGGCCTGTCATACACGACCTTCAAGGTTTCACCAAACGTTACCGTCACCCCTGAGATCTTCAACATGGACCATCCTACGGTCGCCACCGTGCAAATCAAAAACACGGGAAAATTGGCGGGCGCTCAGATTCTCCAACTATACATCTCCGCTCCGGAATCCCCAACCCCGCGCCCAAACAAGGAACTGCACGGTTTTGAAAAAGTATTCCTGCAGCCCGGGGAAGAAAAAACGGTTGACATTCAGGTGGACAGATATGCGACCAGCTTCTGGGACGAAATCGAGGACATGTGGAAGAGCGAACAGGGGACATATGAAGTGTTGATTGGAACATCCAGCCAGGAAGTGGTGGCCCGGGGTAAATTCCAAGTGGATCGCACCAAATATTGGCGGGGACTTTAGATATTCGTCCGGCTTTGTTTGGGTGATTTTCCCGGCTAAATGAGGCCGTCGTGGCTTGATTGGAGGAATTCAGCCATTCGCCTAGCCCATCACCAATCACTAACATCGTCGTTTTTCTCTTGGCCTTTTACATATCTTCTTCTAAGCCCATGTCTGACTGCAGGACGCCCCAGGAAGAATGGACCCTTCGACTGCGCGAGCTCGAAAGAATACTCGGGTACTCACCGCGTGCGATGCCTGTCGTCTCAGCAAGACCCGATGCGATTCGGCACGGCCAGTGTGTGCTAAATGTATCCAGCGGGGTGTAACTTGCGAGTATCCGGAGAAAGATGCCATTTCAGTGTCGGTTCCCATAGAGCCTTTTCCATTAGCCGAGGCATCTAATGACAACCAATTTTATTTTAAAGTCTAGATACATGGGGCGCAAAAATCCTAGACGCAGTAGAACGTCAAGAGCGTCTTCTATCAGAGAGCCTATCTTTGAATCGGTCGCCTCCTCTTTTTTCGCAACAGGCGTCGCCATCCCCAGTGGATGAAGTAGATTCCGAGTCAATCTCGCGCAATGATGCACCCAAAACGCCCATTACCGGCTCGGACATGATCCTTAGCTGGCCTATTTTCCCGAAAGAGAAGCCTGCGTCGACTTTTCCGATGGCAGCGTATTCTGAGAAGCCAGATCGCTTTCAAACGGGTATGGTCTTCTCGATGCATCATATCCCAGGATCATATACTAATAGGCAGTTACAGCTCTACCAAGCCTAGATCCCCAAAGGCTCCTCGAACTGCGCGAAATTTTTATGACCAAGATCTGGACCAAGAACCCGATCGTTGACCCGGAACAGCTTGACTTTCATATCGCTCGAGTGCTGGAAAATGGCATTGAATGGTCCGCCTCGTCCTGCTTGGTACTACTTATTTTTGCGCTTGCTGCCATCTGGGGGAATTATCCCGACGACGAAACCCGCGAAGTCTCATATAATGAACCATCATTTAGTCCACCAGTCACTTATGTGACTATGTCAGTTCCCGAACACCGAATGAAGGAGTCGTTGACCTTCCTCTCCATGGCACGTAAGCGCATCTCCACTGCGTATCTCGACGATACCTTACTGGGCGTGCAGTGTCTTTGTTTATTCGGGTGGGCTCCTTCCTCTCAACTACTTCGAGATACGAATGTCTAACTCCCGAGCAGAATTTGGTATCAGTATAATATGGAGCCGATTCCGGGCTGGAAAATGTTCCGGACAGCATCCATGCTATGGCAAACGTATCGTTTGAAGCACCGCGAGGGAAAGACGATTAGGAGTGCGCAGGAAGAGAGTGGGTGATCTAACCTTTCCGTTGTGGATATGCCTAACTCTCCCAGGTCTGGAGCAGCGCCTCTACTGGACATGCTTGAAGTCCGAATGGTATAACATCGATACACCACCGAGCTCAAATCCTCACACAATTGACTGACATACAATAGTGAGGTTCGATATGAACTAACGGATCTCCCGCCCTGTGACCTCAGTCTCTCCGACTTTCCTTATTCTCTCCCGGGCTTCCCCACAAGACAACCGTCTGACAGCCCTGGGTGGATGTTTTCTAGTCCCTCGTCCACAGACCTTGAAGCAGCATCGTCCTACTATTACCTGGCCGAGATCTTCTTGCGCAGGCTTCTAAATCGGGCTCGCAATGCGGTCCGCGTCCTCTCCCCGGATATCGATCTACCGACCATCAAGATTCTAGCAGAAACCCTGACCCAGCTTGAAGGGCAACTCCAGCAGTGGGTAAACTGTCTCCCACATACACTCCGGTTCAACATGCCTCTCGAATCCTCCCCCGGACCGAAGGAGGGCGAGCTCATGAAGCTAAGTCGTGAGCGATACGTCGAGGTGCGCGAACTTCTCTGCCGCGCGTATCTGTATCTGTGCATCCATGTACCACTCGATCCAGGAATGGCGGCGCTGTATGGGGTCAAAGCGAGCGAGGCGTTACTGCTGGCAGTTTATCGCATCAAGACCGAGGTGCCATTCTTCCGGCATCCGGGGTCATGGGGAGCATGTCGAGTGCGTTTTAACCATGCGCTTTGCCTGGTTGCGGGATTCCGCGCAAAGCTGACGCAACGCCCCTCGGCTGAATATGTGACCATTCCGCCTGATTGGGCAGATTGTGTGCGGGTGGTGATTGAGCGGTTGAAAATCTGGGGCGAGGAGGGCGGCGGGATCAAGGAGTTAAGTGTGCTGCTGGAATGGCTGATGCATGGCAATTTTGAAATGTAGAACAAAACATTATATGTGCTTCTTTTTGTAATGGATCGCAGGATGTCCGTATATGCTAGTACTGAGGGAACCAATTCAACGACTTTGAAGAACTAGACATCACTATTGAGAGCATCTCATAGCCTAAGATTAGCGTGTCACAGCTCGAATATACCGTTTGTGGAGTTCTGCAGGCGCCCGCTCCACCAGGGAGGGGCCCCTGTCCACCTGGACAGGGGTGGTCGCTGAATCAGCAATTTCTAAATCCACGTTGAAAGACATATCTCTCAGCTCGACAACCCAATTTGTGTCAGCCAAATTATTCCGTCTAGTAGAGCAGCTATAGCTCCGTTTCTCTTCGAGTGTCAATCTGCAACGCATCTCCCAAACTAGCCAAGCGGCGACCGTCGTCTTACTCTTGGCCCGAGGCTCTCGGGGAGACTCCGCGAAGTCCCTGCAGCTTTCTTTAGGCTAAGATGAAGTGCCAAGACTCTCGGGGAATTGGCGTCGCACGTCCATAGGCTTGCAAGCAAGAATCCCGGCCTTTTTTTCTCCCCACCGCCCCCACCTCCGGCTACCCCGTGGGGTGATGAAACTATAATCCGTCCAGCGGGGATCTTACCCGGTTTTTGTCTTGATGAATACGATAGAATGAACTCTCCAGCCCGTCCGTGCATCACCTGATGGGTCAGACGGATCATGGCTGTCTGGGACTGGGCCCATCTGCCGAGCCCCTTGCGCTGGATACAAAGCGTAGAACGGACAGGATATATAACCATTCAGAGGTCCCGACGAGTCTGCAGAGGTCCACAGATCAGCACTGTTGTGAGCATCCGAACATCAGTCTTTCAACATGGTCATAGTGGGTAAACAGCGCGAGGAGAATGTTGCCGAGCCTGTGCTTGGTAACCTGTTGATCGAGGACCGTACCCCTTGGTACAAGAAGCCGAATCTGAGACGACTCTATTTCATCTTGTTTCCGGCCTGTATGGGTATCGAGATCACGTCGGGATTCGATTCGCAGATTATCAACACGGTCCAGATTGTGTATACTTGGAACAAATGCATGTCTTCTCGATCTGCGGTGAGCTCTGCAGGAGACTAACAGCGTGATATAGATTTCGGTAAACCAACCGGAGATCTTGTGGATGGACTCCCCGAGTACACGATCGAAGCCAACCTCAAGGGCTTCCTGGGTGCCGCATACTCCCTCGGAGCTATTCTCTCCCTGCCCTTTGTCCCATACCTCAATCAGCGAGTCGGACGACGATGGACGATCATGTTCGGTTCATGCGTGAGCTTAATCGGAGCCATCATTCAAGGCTTGTCTAATGGAGGTATTCATTTCTTTCCTTATCCTTTTTGTGACATATCTGATAGTTCCTAGTGGCTATGTACATCGTCGCGCGCATGATTCTAGGATTCGGAATCCCGTTCTGCATCGTGGCCGGGTCATCTTTGCTAGGAGAGCTAGGTTACCCTAAGGAACGACCGATTCTCACTTCGCTGTTTAACTCCTCCTACTTCATTGGTCAGATTATCGCAGCAGCCGTGGGCCTAGGCACTGTGACCATTGCGTCCGACTGGGCATGGCGAATTCCATCTCTGCTTCAGATTGCACCTGCCACGATCCAGATCGCGACCGTTATGTAGGATGGCCCCGCTGGCTATCCAAATGCCCTCACTAACATATTTCCAGGTTCCTCCCCGAAAGTCCCCGATACCTGATCAGCAAAGACCGCTACGATGATGCCTTCGACATCCTCACCAAGTACCACGCGGAGGGCGACCGCAGCTCCGTCATTGTCAAGGCCGAACTGGCGCAGATCGAACGCACCATCAAGATAGAGCTGGAAGAATCAAAGCAATCCTGGTGGGACATGTTCCGCACGGCTGGTATGCGTCGTCGACTGTTCATCTCCGCGTTCCTCGGCCTGTTCACACAGTGGTCCGGCAACACACTCGTTTCGTAAGCATCCACCTGTGGCATCTGCCCTACATGCCTTTCGCCTTTGCTAATGGATGTAATAGGTACTATCTTAGCGACCTGCTGAACATGGTCGGAATCACCGACGGCGTGGTCAAGTCCAAGATCAACATCGGCATTGCCTGCTGGGGTCTCGTTTGTGGTACCGCGCTGGCGCTGACGGCCCCGCGCTTCAAACGTCGACCGGCGTACCTGACCTGCGCAAGTTGCCTGCTGTGTGTTTATGTTGGATGGACCATCTCCATGGAGCGCTTCATGACTACAGAGGCTAGACCTGCCGCCATTCTGACCATCTTCTTCATTTTCGCCTACTCGCCTGCCTATAACCTCGGTTATAACGCCCTAACTTACAGTGCGTATCCCTTCCGTTTCATGGCATGTGTATATACTGACATGAGCAAGCCTATCTGATTGAGATCTTCCCGTACGTGGGTCGCTCACGCGGTCTTGCCTGGTTCCAGTTCTATGGCCGCGGCGCAAGCTTCTTCGCCACCTACGTGAACCCTATTGGTCTTACGCGTATTGCCTGGAGGTGGCTCCTGGTATACTGCTGCTGGTTGGTATTCGAGCTGGTGTTTATCTTTTTCTTCTTCCCTGAAACTTCGGGCCGCACTCTTGAGGAGCTGTCATTCAGTAAGTGGCCTTCCTATTCTACAAGAGACTGAGCTAACGTAAGCAGTGTTCGAGGACAAAGAGAAGGCCAATCAGGTCGCTGCAGCCGTTCACAAACAGATCGATGAGGATGACAATAAAAATGTCACGGCGCATGTGGAGCTCCAAGAGACCAAGGCTGTTTGATAGTGTCCTAATCGCTCTTGTATCAGGATGGTAGGATGAGCGTGTGGAACAAAGTTATCCGCTAGGTAGTGTAGTCTATGTTAATTCTATGTCATTACAACAAGCTACTATACAGTTTGCGGTGACATGATAGTTAACCTTGGGTCAAGGCCACAACCTCATAGCTGGACTATATTGTGATATTTCTAGAAACGACTTACCTTCCTACACATCAGCTATCTAAATTTCAATCTTTAGAAAGAGTCTCATCAAACATAGTCAGAAATTTTGAATATCGCCTATAACCCTACAATCTATATATCTGGAGCATTGTCAAAAAGACGAAGGTCGGTGAATATTGGCTAGATACGAGTCTAGGATACTTAACAGCTCTCCTAGCTGCCTATCGTAATAATTCACATTCGCACAATCAAAAGAAGAACCCGGCAAGCGTAAAGGACTTGTGATTGGTCTTCCTGGTCATTAGCTAGAGGAATGGGCGGAGCTTAGATCCAGTCAGAACGTAGCAGTCTGCGAAGACGGGCAGAAAAGGTAGTCTATAGGCCTATAGAACGACTGGGCCTCCCATCGGCCAGCGATCCGGGTAAATGTCGCCGTCTGAATTAAAGTCGGCCGGCTATGGCCAGCACCTGAGCCTCCGTTGATCGCCCCATCAGATGGCCACGGTTTTGCAAAGCGATGGGTCCCAGATCTCACGTATCAACCTCTGAATAGGAATGTGAAGTCTGTCTTCCCGTGGACCACGCACGGGTGGCCCCGGGAGTGGCCCCGGGAGTCATTGGAAGGTTCCAAAGTATACTGTCAGCATCTCGGCTCTAAAATTATAAAGTATCTCCGAGGATTTCCTATTGTTCTACCTCATTTCTTTCTATCCTATGCTACCTTGATGCACTGTCCGAATACCCAATCTCTATTTATGATTTCTTCACCAGGACCGTTCACAGTGCGCTCGGCACTGGTCTCCGATGCCGCCCGAATTGCCGAACTGGGTGCCCATGTCTTCTCTGCCAGCTTTGCCCACTCAGTGGAACCCCACGAGCTGGCTGCATACTTAAAAGCATCATACTCAACAGCAGCAATTCAAAAAGATTTGACGGATGACTTGAAAAACGTCCTTGTTGCCACGGATGGTAATGATCAAATCGTGGGCTTCGGCTATCTGAATCGTGCAAGTGACGAGCCTTGCCTAGCCAATGTGGATCGCAAAGTTGAATTACAACGAATATACATCGATCCCGCAGCTCAGGGAAGAAGCGTCGGTGGCCTACTAGCAAAAAGACTCGAGGGCTTGGCAAGGGAGCGAGGTTTCCAAAACATGTGGCTTGGCGTTTGGGAGGAAAATAACAGAGCCCTCCAGGTATACGAACGGTGGGGGTATCGAGTTGTGGGTAATCACAGCTTTACGATTGGTTCGGTTGTTCAAATGGATCTTATTATGCTTAAAAGTCTTTCATGACAGGACAATGTTTGAAACCTAAGTGGAGATTAGCTAAATAGCCCAATTACACTTCAACCATACTGGCAGATCGAATTACGACTTCAACAAGTCCATCACCTCCGGGATTCACCGGTTCGTCAGTCTGTAGGAAGCTTATGTTGCAAGCTATCCACCGTATTATCTCGTCCATACGTTCCTCGATCTCGGTTTCATTCTCGCTGGCGAGATTTATTGTCTTTCCTAACTTTACAGTGAGTTCAGGCTCTCCCTGTTTCTCCCCTTTTGTATACTCTCTTTTGGAATAGAAGGCTTGTATCACGCGTACTTGACGAGCGCCAAAAATAGAGATCAACAAGACAGCGATGCTCGGAGTTCCCAAGAAGGTAGGCTGAGAGGACCGAATGCCAATCACTTGCACTAACGCGGAAAGCTCACTTGCGAGTAAGCTACTATCGTCAGGGCAGTCGAAGCTAAAAATAGCCATCTGTAAATGCGGATAGGGTGTTTCCTGGAACTCGCGATCTCGAACGCAGAATTCATCTAGACTCAGCGGGTGCCACCCCCAGGTAAATGGATAGCCAGGTGCACGAATATCATCAATTTCATAGAATTCATCATTCTCTCTAGATAGATAGATTGTTAGCGAAGGTATTTGAAACGTAAAAGGCGTCACCTACTCAATCTTTGACCAGGGCCTAATCATGCTCAACGATATTCCGGGATGTGTACGCGGAAGATTGGCAAAGTCCGCGTAGTTCTCAGTGCGGTCCTGAATAGCATACCATAGCTGATAGCAAACCTCGTAATGTTGACTTTGACGTGAGGGTACGTCAAGTCTTTGATCCGCCTCTAGATCAAGCGTTGGTAGCTTTTTGAGTGATTCAGGCTCCGTTAACGCGAGCTTATCAAGTCCATCCCAAGGCTCAAACCAGGAAGTACGACCTGCGTCCTTATCCTTAGTAGAGACTAGCTTGATATTGAGTGGAGACAAGTCCGAAGCAGTGTACTTCAGCTTCTTCGGGGTCTCGCGGTTGACCACGAGACGTTTCCACTGGTTCCATATGTTGTGAGATGGCATATTGGTAAGACGTTCCCAGGAAGTAATGAGACAGACACAGGAAAAGCGCTAAGTGCCAAGCTGATAAAGTAGAGGGGATTTGGGGAAACTGCATAAGAGTACCACAGAGTGGGTCAATTTGTGCGGCTGAGAGAATTTGCAGCGTTTGCTTAATATTGATGCCTGAGGCCACAGCGGCAAAGTGGGTCTGTGCGTTGAGCCGAGGACCACAAAACTCCGTCATTTCGGCCCCTAAAACTAGAAACCCGACTAGTTTCCTTGAATAACAACATTAATAAAATAGATACAAACATGTGAAGAAAGGTATTACAGTACTTCCGCGTTTAAATGATACGAAGCTCTCTATAGACTTCGCCATAAACCGCAATTGGGAGGTGTGGTTTCTGATAGGTTCCGTTAAAGCCCGAAAAAACTAGTTACAACATTTTTTATATAAAATCGAGGTCTTGGTATATATAATTCTACTTATTAATCACTATAGAGTACTATTTATTGACAAGCCTTGGTACTTCTTTCGCCAGTAGAAACGGGGTAAAAGTGGTCGCACATCGTCTTCTGCCAAACCTTCTTGTTGGCCTAACTCTGCCTGCTTCTCTGCGTCGACCAACTTCCCTTTCAACTCCCCAAGTAGAATGCTCCGCTGCTCTAGAAATTTCAGCGTGATTCGCACCAAATTAATGGACCCTTTCCTCGCTGCCTGTCCCAAAGGGATGGTGCCGAGCTTTGCACAAGTTCGGAGAGGTCGGCCCCTCGATCCAATAATAGCTAGGGTAGATTCGTCATTTTCCTATGAACAATGTCATGGGGATGGGTAGGACTCCCCTTCGATATCGATTCCATGAACGATAAGTGTGTCTAGAGTAGCAGCCAGAGCATCCCAGTCTGCGCCGCGCTTCGTGAAGTAATCGGAGTCTTTGTCCTCATCAACCTGGGCCGGACTTAACCACCGTCCAGGGCAACATCGCATACCTTTTGTGCCTCGAGTTTCAGTTCTTCATTATCTAAGTGGGACTGCGGTCAGGTACATTATCTCAAAGCAACGGCGAGAAGTCCTAAGATATGTAAGATATAGAGGACAGGGATATCGACAGGAGTAGCTGAGAGTGCGGTTGACTGAGCTGCCTATGGAGCTTGCACTGGAAGAATATCCGTGATAGCAATTGGAAAGCAGCTTGACTCGGCTATAGGACGATTATGGGGCCTCGGTTGATCAAGTCGTTGCCTCTCTGCTCTATATATTTGTTCGCAGATCATACTGTACCTAGGAGGCGATTTGATTATAACGAAGCCCAAATTTATGCTTACACTAAGACACTCATATCCCATTATCTGTCACTCAAGGCATTTGCGCTCTGGCCTGTCTATGTCACCCGTCCAAGGTTCCAAGTCCGTATCAGTGAATAAAAAATTTTGATATTCTAACCCAAAAGCTGGGAGCCAACGTGTTATCCACAAGGTTGAATGCCAAATTCAAAGATGTTAAAACCTCGATGAGAGAGCGAATGATATATATTCTGTCAGGTTCTCACGCTAACATTCTAGATCCCAGCCCCACTTAATGAGCGGGAGGCGGATCGAACCTTTTTGTACAGCCCACTTTTGCGCCTCCGCAACATTGATCAGACTCTCCTGCATACTCGTCCAATTTGTTGGGGTTTGGGTTATATATAGTTCTGCTAAGGGCAAGAAATATTTCACTATGGTAGAGCGCTAGCTATGGCACCTGGTCAGCGGCAACCACCGGAGTTCCTACGGCTAGCGCGTAATTTCACATGGAATTGGCAACCCAGTACATGCTTGTACGAGTGCGTTGATGCAATCAATACTCATCGTCGAGAAATGCGGATATCAATATCAAAATCTCGTTTGTAAATTCGATGTGTGCATGTTGAGGAAGGAGACAGCCACAGTGTAGTTGCCTACATAAGCTGTATGTTTACGGTTGGAGGGGTGTTTTGAAGGAAAGAACGACTGACAGGTCATATTTCTGTCAAGTCTTCCAGGCAGCAGTTGCTGTTCCTGGAAGAATAAAGCCGTGGCAATATGTGTCTATTTAGCTACACCACCAAAATACTGCATTTAAAGGTCAGACTGTGATTCTATATTGAGATGATGGTGATCATGGTGAAAACAAGGATAAGATGAATCAATGGATGGGGTAGATAAAAAATGTAGGATATGTAGAGACGAGTAAAGATGTTGAAGGATGCAAACTTATTTGTATATATTTTGAATTCAAGCTGCAATTTATTCATCTTTATGTATCATTTCGACTTTGAAAAGAGCCTATTGATGGCCCTTTCAGCCGCAACACGCCATCCCGTCTGTCTTGGCAGTTCCGACCTTGTATAACTTCCGGTGGGGGAGGGGCCGGTTATACGGGGAATCTGCCGACAATCTTGGAAGGAACACCTGGGCAGCTATCACCGATTGAATTAAAGTTATGAATAAGCGTTTGCGGGGACCTCGGGAGAGTGGAGTTGTGGATTCAACCATAGAATGAAATGAGCACGGTTCCATGGAATGAAGTATTGTAATTTCAGGTAGATAAACTTCTCTAAGCCCTAATTTATTGGCATCGAGATCGTGCCCAGCCTATCGGACTCCATGAGTGACACAGATTAGGTTAGAATTTACCTCGGAATAAATAGCCAAAAGGCAACTGACATGGTCTTACATTTACAATGAATGAGTAAGTATATATTTACATGGAATGCTCTACGCAAGGTTACAATTTATCGCACCACACCGGTAGAATGGAGTATAAAACAATTGTGAGTGTGCTTAGAGATTAATTGACAAGATTCTCACTGCCGAGGCACTACTAGAGACTTCCTGTAGTAGTCCAGTATACGTTATAGTTATATCCCTGGGCATCATAGAACGCACTCAGTGTAACGCTCTTCCCGTCAGCAGTGGAGGTAAAGTCAAGGCTAGAATCCCCAACGCGCTTGATCGAGTCAAGAGCGAGAGTAGGAGTACCACCCAGTTTTTGATCTCCGTAATTTCCGCACAAGACAGTTGGCCCGTATGCAATGGCGACCATCTTCGCATTGTCATTTGCAGCAATCGTACGCAGACTCATCGGGAAGCGGACCTCAACGACATCTCCCTTAGCCCATGTGCGCTTGATTTGAGCATAGGTCCCGGGCTTAGCTTCGACAGGTAAGGCTGCCCCATTAAGCTTCAGCTCTGCGCTTGTTGCCCATGTAGGGATGCGGATTTTCATAGTCCAGTCACCACTACCGGAGACTTCCAGCTTCGTTGTATCGCCAACTGGGTAATTCGTAGACTGTTTCAGGGTAACACCCTTCTCACGCCAATTCAGGACAGACGACATGAATAGGTTGATAAATAAGGTGGAGTCATTGTAGAAGTAGATCGAATCCATCAACTTTGTGTTTGTTTCGAGTGCTGTTCCTTGGCAGCACCAGAATGAGTCGTAGTCTGTACTCCAGGTACCACCGCCCCAGGCGGGACCAACACCGCGACGACCTCCAGCGTTGAGAGGGGTGAAGTACGTGATGTGTCCATTCTGGTTATGAGGGTCCTGTTGGCCCAGCAAGTGGTTGAGCAAGGCATTTTCGTAGAAATCAAAGTATTTCGAGTTCTCTGAATCAAGAAGCCACAGTTCGCGAGTCAACTTGAGCATGTTATAGGAATTGCATGCTTCACATGTGTCATTATCAAGATACTCGGCGATGGCGTTTGGAGCATGGAAGTGTTCGGCTTGACTGTTACCACCAATGGCGTATGTGTGTGCTTTAACATTGATCTCCCAGGCGTTGCGGGCAATATCAAGGTAGCGAGGGTTTCCGGTCGCTTTGTATTCTCGAGCAGCTCCGATCCACTTTGGAACTTGAGTGTTGGCATGCAGGCCGTTGAACTGATCTTTGTTGGCCGCAAGGGGGTCGAATATAACCGCGTGATCAAAGCGTTGGGCAACGGTAAGCCATCTCTTATCACCGGTTTGGTGGTAAAGATCAGCCAACACATCGTTCATACCGCCGAATTCCGTTTGCAACTGCTTTTGCATTGCGTCATAACTGAATGATGCAGTGCGTTTGTCGACCCACCCGGCCAAGGAAAGTAAGACGTCTCGAGATGTAGTGTCGTTCGTCATGCGCCAGACATCGAGAAGACCTGCAAGTGTCTTGTGCACTGCGTAATACGGGACATTTCCGTTCTTCAGTTCGCCCTTCTCGAGACTTGCGAAGTCCGATTCTGGAAAGCCAGATACATATCCGTCCGTGAAACCAACAGCCTTGTTGTTGGCCTGACATTTTGCTAGCTCGGCAGCAAAGTAGGTCGCTCGATCATAGCATGTTTGGTCGTGGAGGACAGCATAGCATTGAGCCCAGGCACTGAGGAAATGACCCTGGACATGCGAACGGAACGGGAAGTTGGGAGCATCCCAGCCACCATTAGGTGTCGCCTGTTGTGTAGATAATCCGTGAGTCGCCCGGAAGACATACAGTAATCTGTCGACGTCTATCTCTTTCAAATATTTCAAGGTACGACCCTGGTTTTCCAGGAAGCGGTCTTGAGCTAATTCGACCCCGCCAAGATCGAATGCAAACGCCTGGGCTTCGACATCCTTGATATTCAAATCGGATTTTCCATAAACGAAAGAGGAAAGAGAAAGGAAAAAGCAAATGAATATGGTGAGTGGGTTCCGCCAGTCCTTAGAGTATATCATTTTGAATGGCTCCGGAGGAGAGCGGATCAAAAATCTAGTGGAGAAGCTAATTGATTTGATAGGCCTAGGTATTCTGGAGGCGTTGCCCAGGACATGACTGCAGTGGTCAATGAGTCCCTTTTAACATTAACCTTTTCCGGTGGGATAAGATATATATGGAGTGTTCAGTGTACACATGGATAAAATTGCAAAGGCTTTCCACACAAGTTCTCCGTACAACATATACACCTACATTGTTTGCAGGCTAAACCCCAGAATGTATCATTAGCCGGATCGTTGCGGAGAAATTTCATATTCCAAGATGGGAAACATACCGGAGGATTTGCAGATCACTCCCCCGATGTCAGATTGCTCGGGCCCTGTTTGCCAACACATACAGAGTACTTTTCGAGAATTAAGCCCCATTTGTCATACGAAATAAATTGCACATTTCCTTAATATAACATAATTGAAGTTATATACCAGATCAAGTAAGCAGTAATTGAAAAAAGTTCTCGATATTTCCCCACTCCACAATATGTCGTACTTAGAAATATGTACAACATATAGCATACATGGGTATGCGGCCCACGCGTCCACTGTATGCAATAACGTAATATGTACGGAGGGTGTCCTCCGTACGGAGGAGACCGTTAAAGTTGCGGAGAAATGCCCTTTCTAGACTCTTTCTCCGAAATACGTACAATACGCTGTTTTTAATACCGTACTGCCGTGCCAAGATGCGGTATTGGCGCACTTGGCAATTACACGGAACGGGTAGATCTGTCCGGGAGAGGTCCGACCCAAGAAAATACTATGTGTCTTGTTTTGATATTACTTCTTGGCTATATGAAATTTGGTTATATTTATTCATACGGAGTAGAACTCTCTAAACACTAGTCTACATACTCTGTACTCTGTAGGAATTCATAAATCAGCTTCGGAACCTCGGCTAACTCATCCGGTCAAACTACTTTAGTTAGGACGCCCCATTTGAAGCTAACTCTGGTCTCGATCGCTAAAGATCTGTTTCAAGGATATAATGCCGAAATGTTTTGGGGCAAGCTTAGTGGATACCTCTAGGTAACTGAGACAAACAGCTTGGGACATCATGCCAGAAATTTTACCTTCGCCTAGTACTCCGTACGCTTCCTAGACTTCACAAAAAAGCCCGCTACGGCCTAGACTTCTTTTTTTTTTCTTCACCCCTAGAATGGAAATTTCTACAGCGTAGCTGAAGATTCCGAATATCCTGATAGCGCTCGCGAATTGATTGGCCACGCGGCGGCTAACCATTTTAGTCCAGTTTCGGCGAGATAGGGCATCCTCGGGGCCAAATTTATAGTAGATTTGGAGTCTATGTGGGTTGATAGCTCATACGATGCAATTTATGCGGGACATCAAATTGATGAAAAAATGACAATGGGGGGTATCGTGGATTATGGTATTCCTTTGAATGCAAATTGTACTCCGTATAAACATATTAAAATCCTTCACAGCGCCCTTCAGCACTTTCGCGATTGCCGAGCTCAATATTTTCCCCCCTAACACTGAAATGGACTGACGTGTAAATCTTCAACCCACTCTTCCCATCGGTGGGGTTGATAATGGGATCCTCCTCTCTTTCCCAGCCACGCAGAACACCCGAACCATCATTGTTTTCCTTGTGCGTAATTGTATTCCTCGAGTCCAACCGCCTTGATTTTGACTGCGATCCAGAAGTTCCATTTGTGTAGGAGATACCGTTTCCGTCTTCGTAGGCGGCGATGAAAGATTTGAAGAATGCGCTCACAACACATAATACGCTTATCGAAAGGTAGATCTCCGCTACTACGGTTGCAAAGGCGCCAACGAGGATTGGGTCATCTGAGGTGATTTGTAATTTTGTATAGTATAGGCGGAGACCGGCGAGGGGAATGAGACTGGTTGGAAGTCAGATGTTAGTTTATGTGAAATATCCTTGGGGCGGGGAAATTTGACTCACAGTATTCGGGTCTGGAGGGCTATGAATACCACTAGCTTTTTCCTTGTTGATATCTGGATTGTGTGCACTGCGACCGCAGTATACACAAAAAGGGATGCCTCGGTGGCGATGTCAATCGCTGTGATCGCTTGCCATCGGGGTAACTGTACCATATTCAGGTTCTGTCAGTTGCTCATATTCCCTTTTGTAGAATTTTCCTAGACTGTTATCTTACCAGACTACTACATTGAGCGGCGCTAATATCAGCCCATGGGTTATGGCTACAGCGGACTGCTAGTAGTACCACGGAAAGAATTGTCCAAGCAACCATTCCAACTAGATTGGCGCGGATAAACCACTTCTGTATCTGGGAAAAGAGGGTATCGTAGAATAGACATGTCGATATCTTGGAGCAGCCCAAAACAAATATCGAAAGAAGTTCCGCGGCGTATCCGGTCTTGAGCATTCGATCGCTTGTAACTTGGCCAGGTTCTGTCCGGATACCCCAACCCTCGTGAACCTGCGCTAGAACCACCGCTGCTTGGGTAGTTGCCACAACCTATTTTATTGTTAGTATGTGTAACAAAATCAGCTGTAAATCGGCGAATAAACCTACTATGAGCAAGCCAAACAAAAGGTTATTATGTTGCATAATACGCCTATGGAACGAAACGGAGATTCGCGTCGCGAGCGCAACAATAATCAAAAGCAGATATAATGAGGTGATCACTACGATCAATCCGCTATGATTATTGGGGTTATCTGTCGACAGAGGGGGGCTTACGCCTGGAGGTAATGGCGAAGGGACCGACATGATTGTCTAAGTCAGATTGAACATCGACAGAACATCGACAACAGAAATGGTATATATTTCAAAGCACGTGGCAAAACAAGGGGGCGATTCAATAATTTGGGGGCGGAGTTGTTTATGTTAATTTTCAATCAAAGATTTTGGGCAGCAAGGGTTATAAAATTGAAGGACAAGGGTATGTAAGCTCGAAGACTAGAAGAACAGGGTATAAAATGCCATCGATATGACTGTCGAAAGCATATAAAGTATTTAATTAAAATAATTAACCAATGGTATTGTGATGTTGAATATCATCCGGCATCGGGTGTGTAAATGTGGATAGATTCATATGGAAGGAATCCCCGAAAAGGAAAATAAAAGAAAAATACGAAAAATCAGTATTAGGAAAGGTGAATGTCGAATTTTTCCTTTTAGCGTGCATTGCCTCATTTCGCTTGAAAATACTCTGCGTTATAGTACTTTTGTTCTCCCCCGAAGGAACTAGGCCCATGCACCTGATGCTTTAGTCTGATGCTACCCTCGTGCTATTCATATACCTACATACTGGGCGTTTATTCATGCAATATATCCTTAGATCTTCTATTATTCTTCCATTGTTCTTTTCTTTTTCCTTTATTTTCTTTTTTTTTCCTCAAAAAATAAAGTTATCCTATATTAAAAAGAAACAATGACAATCTAACAATTTCATAACCAGAACAGGTTAGTTCAAGCCAAGCCAAAGACTGTATTGGCATACTCCACCTATAAAGTGCCATAAAGATCAAGACTTAGGTGGATCAAAAGTATTGTATCCCACCAATCTCCTTTGATCCAAAGGATCTTTAATACGATTTGCTATCGCCCCTTGATCTTGTTATATTCCCACCCCCCCTTACATTTACCCTTTCCCTCCCTCTTTCTATCCCCCCATTTCTCTTTCTCCCAAAACAGCTCTGTCGCTGCTAGATTACCGTCATGAGTTCCTCCAAACCAGCCGGTTCGGCAGTGCGTGATACGGAGCTACAATCTCTAGATCATGATGGTTCTTCGGAGCATGATCCGAAAACAGCAGTTGCAGATGACACTGACATGCAACGAATGGGAAAGGCCCAGGAACTGAAGGTACATTTTCTCTGTCAGCCCTACACTATTCTATATCTAATGTCAATCAGAGAAACCTAAGGCCTTTGGCTGCTTTAAGTTTTGCATCAGTCTTGCAAGCAACGTGGGAGTTCATTCTCATGTAGGTAGAACATTCCGCAAACCCCCACTTAACATATTTCTAATTCGTAAATTCTTTGCAGTTCCAACTATGAAGGTTTATACAATGGTGGCCTACCGGGTCTATTTTACTCTTATCTCTGGACCTTCATTGGGTTCGGGTTCATTATTGCCTCCATCTCCGAAATGGCATCGATGGCACCAACTTCTGGCGGACAATACCACTGGGTTTCTGAGTGGTCTTCACCTCGATACCAAAAGTTCCTCAGTTATGTTACCGGTATGCCTATCCTATGCCCTTGACGTTTTTTTTTTTTTTTTTTGACTCATCAATCTCTTTTCATAGGATGGATGTCAGTATTAGCATGGCAAGCTGGAGCAGCCTCTGGCTCATTCCTCACTGGAACAATTATTCAGGGATTAATCAGTGTTCGAAACCCTGATTATGACCCCCAGAGGTGGCAGGGCACTCTTCTCGTCTTTGCGATGGTTACGGTGATCTTTATCGTTAACGTCTTCGCATCCGACATAATGCCAATCCTAAACAACCTGTTGATGATTCTCCATGTTCTCTCCTGGGCAATCATTATCATTGTTCTGTGGGCTATGGCTCCTCACCAATCGGCCGAAGTTGTCTTCGTTACAGGCTGGAAAAATGGGGGAGGTTGGGCTACGATGGGATTAAGTGTGATGATCGGACAGCTCTCGGCTATCTATGGCTCCTTGAGTACGTATTAATCTGGCTTTAATATGTATAGAGGATACTAACAACTATATAGGCTCTGATGCAACTGCCCACATGTCCGAAGAGGTGAAAGATGCATCTCGCAACGTCCCTGTCGCTATTGCCTGGGGCTACTTCAGCAACGGTATCATGGCCGTAGTTCTGGTTATCACTTTGCTCTTTGCTATGCCATCATTGGACGCTGCCCTAGAGGACCCCACCGGCTTCCCATTCCTCTATGTCTTCCAACAGGCAACCTCGACAGCAGGAGTCAACGGACTTACAGCTATCATCCTTCTACCTGTTATCTTCAGTAATATCCTCTTCAATGCCTCCACCTCCCGGCAAACCTTTGCCTTCGCCCGTGACAATGGCCTCCCATTCTCCAAGTGGATCGGCAAAGTCGATGAACAGCGCAAGATCCCCACGAACGCTATCATTTTGTCCTGCCTCATCAGCTGCGCGCTATCCCTTATCAATATCGGATCTGAGACTGCGTTCAACGCCATTATCTCTCTGAACGTCGCGGCCTTGATGTACACATACATCATCTCCATTAGCTGCGTCATCTACCGCAAGATCTGGCACCCTGATACCCTCCCACCCCGTCGGTGGGATCTAGGCAAGTGGGGCCTGGGTATTAACATAGTTGGTTTGCTATATTGCTGTTTCGCGCTCTTCTGGGCGTTGTGGCCAGGTGATCTTGTTGTCACAGCGGAGGGCTTTAACTGGAGTGTGGTTCTCTTTGCAGGAGTCTTCATTATCAGTCTCGTGATGTACGTTGTTAAGGGCCGGAAGGATTATGTTGGACCATCAGTTATTGTCCAGCAAATTCGGGAGTAGTTGTATATTAACCCTATATGTTGAGCCTTTACGTCAGAAGGCTAGAGAGAGGGTACAGAGCTGTATTATCAAAAGGAGCTGAACTCCCAAAATTATTATTTTTCTTTTCATCCAAGGACCTCTTGTGTATTCGTTTCTTTTCCTCCAAGTAATACGCAACTAAGGTTGGCATTGCTTTCTATGGAAAGAACGGGGTCAGTGAAAACATCAGAAAACAAGGCATTCAGGCATCAAGGTCCCCAAAAAAGATATAACTAAAGCACGTGGCTTACAAATAGCCCAAGTGACTAGTTAAACGTCAAGATCGTATAAATAGAAATCGAGAGAAGGAGAAACGCTTAACCCTCTAGTCCACATCTATCACACGTACTCTATCAATCTCATTATCATTCCATTCCAAAATACCATCCGCGCTAGAATTATCAGATATATGGATCATCGGCTTTCCAGGTATTACTGCCAACCTCCGGGATTTAGACGTTGGCATGGAGTTTCCACCATATGGCGAGCTCAACTCGTATGTGCTCCGTCCAGTCCCAGCCGTCCGACCTCGAACGGATCGCAACAGGGCTCTGATACAAGGTATCGAGGCCGTTATAATGACCAGATAGGCTTCGATGTATAGCCAGCGATTGTAGTTGACGGTTGCGACAGTTGGATCATCGGCTGCGTGTGCGAGGACTTGAGTTTGCACTACTTTTATAACAGATGCTGCCATTGCACTGTATTTGAGATAACTCTGTTAGTTGTGCATGCCATTTTGAGATACAATCGAATAATCTACTCACAAAATGCCCAATCCGAGGAGTGCGACCAAGCCCAACTTGATCCTTAACTTCAAATTCAAATTCCAGAATATGTATGTTGAAAACACTGCCAGATAAAGATCTGTGGCCGAATTGAATGCTAGAGTCCACGATTAGTCTCAGCCATATGGAGATCGGAGCAATGAATAGAAGCTCGTACAGCCCTGATAGTACCCGTAGTATGCCTGGATACGGAAATCCCAGCATTTATGTTCCCCATTCTGCGTCCAGATAGCAGAAGCATGTCCTGGACATTGGATAAACAAAATGATGATCAATATCAAGTTAGTCAAGATTTGTACCGCTGCTATGATCCACAGTATCACTCTATGTGATTTTCTGGTCCCAAGTAGCCCAATGATGAATACAATGAAGGAAATGCGACCCAAGGTACCGCCCGCAATGCCGAATGTCTGTGTCAAATAATCGAACATAATCACTTTGGGAACAACGGTCTTTGTGTCAAGATCCCAGGCATGGCGACAGAACCCATGGCTGACGCCCACGGTTATCAGAGCTGAGCCGACTATAGTAAGACACTAAGTCCCGGGAAATAAGTTAGTCTTCAAGCTCAGACTATTATGGTCTTGAGACATTGCATGAGCAGGCTAACCAATGCTGATACCATGAGAATGTCATCCCAATCAATTTTCCGGATCCTTATTTTTGCAATCACCCTCAAGGCGACTATTAAAATCGCGATACCAGTGAGTGTCCAGATATCCCTCAAGAGACTTGGACCACAATTGTAGATCTCTGCTCGAGGTGAGAGATTCATATCAGTCCGTCGATGGCATGGAATTCGCCAGCACGAGGGACGGAAAGGATGTCAGAGACAGGCATATCCATATCATCAGGTTGACATTGGAGTTATATTCGGCCCACCATATTCGCCTGTTATCATATCTATACATTATCAATCACATCGGAGATCTCCACGGGGCTCCGTTGTACACTGTAGTTAGCTCGGCTATACAACATATGTTAACGTAGAAATTAACCTTGAAAAATCTAGGTCGGAGTTCTCCGCTCGACCGTCGGTACATAATAATGATAAGAAAATGGGCCTGACCTATCAAATATAGCCAGTCAAATACCCCAATGATTGAACCCTAGCCAGGGACAAGTGGATGGCGTTCGATAATAGGACGAGTATTGATTGGTCCCCGCGCGCGAGGGATCCGAGCGGCCTGATATCTTTGGCGGCTGAGGCGCTGTTGTACAGAAGGGATTTGATTGTATATATATTTGCTAGATGCCATTCTTGCCAATAGACAGCAATTTAGTTATCCGTGGCCAGACGTGGATTGTTTTGTGACGAGTCAACTGGCTTGGGTTTCGATAATATAGACTCCAAACAGCGGGCATATCGGTATGTAGTGTTAGGCTGGAAGTAATCATAGCATGGAACAATCAGGTGTTAATAGGATGAAGGTACAAGATGCCAAAGAGCAAATTTATTGAATCTGATCGTTTTATGCCTCAGGTGTCGATACTTCCCAATTAGGTAACTTAGCCTTCTCTTCCTATTAGCAGCGGTGACGTGAATTTAGAGTGAATGACCCCTTCTTTTCCACCCGTTTGACTTTACTTACGCACTCATTATTCAACATATAGCCCAAAGATGATCACAAAATTACCCCAACAGCCAATTTCCAAGTTGTGCTGGAACGGGGTATCATAGGCGCGGCTATGAGTCCCTAATTTGGACGCCGGGGCTGGATCATCCCGTAACATGATGCCCACGATGTCTCCCAGCGACTTTTCAAGAACTTTAACCAAAAGACATTGTTTGAATGGTAGATTCAATCTCCACTATAAGCCAAGTGGAGCTACAACATACAAGGTGAATGATATGCCCATGCAAAAATCCATTTAAATCACACATCCCCCAGAACATGTAAGAACGTAAACCACCATCACAATCAACTTGAAATCAACTTGGAATCAACTTGGAATCAACTCAATATGGTTCAGATCAAGATCTCAATGCTAGCCACAACTTTGGGCATCATGAGCGCCGGTCTCGGCTGCTCTGCGGCAACCATCACAAACAGCCTGCTCCTCGCTGAGGTTGCGCAGCAGCTCTCCCTTCCAGCATCTACATGGTCAGCCAGCGGCACACACACAGCGAAGGGATATACCAGCGAATCAGCAGAGATGGCGTCTTTGAAGGGCTTGAAGGAGGACTGCGACAATATCAACCTCAACAAGAAGTTGGCTGTTGACTTCCGCAGCGATGTCTTTGGTCCCGGCGTTACGGGTTTCTTCTACAAATGTGAGAAGGTTAACGACGATACCAACAACTACTGGTTCACTATCAGTGCTGGAGACAAGACTCAGATCGACAAGCTCTGTGATCCAGATACTACCTACCCCATTGTCTACGATAAGCAGCATGATACCTGGTTCATTGACGAACCTTTTGATTGCACCAAACGAACCAACCCGAGCGACTTCTTTTAGGCGCAAGAATGAAACACCATGGTAAGATATTCATGCAGACTAAGGGCAATTGCGACAATAAACTAATAAAGTTTCGTCAGAATGAACTGTATTCTCAGTTGAGTTGGGAGTCTTTTGGGGTCTGGAAAACGGGGCATGGATTGAGTGGGCATAATTATAACCTCTCGTTGGTTTTCTTCCTCATAATATTTGCGTCATGCATATCAACTGTACGAACCAGATTTGTCCCTCTCCAACTGGTGATATCTATCATAGGGTGTCTTCAATATCGAGCCTCTCACGCTGTTGTTTTCTGAATTCCATAAGCCATCGCCAAAGCCGTCCGTCAGTGAGGAATATTTGCTCTGTATCTCGGAGACCAGACATTTTTGATGGGTCATAGTTGAATCCCCAGTCCGAGATCATGGTCAAATGGCGAGCCAAAGACAGCTCAAAACTCAAGGGGTCGATGAAAAGATCATTTTCTGATGATTGAATCTGGGTTTCCGACAGGTCCTGGAGTCTGATTCTCTTGTGCAGGGCTCGATAGAATTTTAGACCCCTTTGTGAAAAGAGATATGACTCGAGCTTTGGGGCCGATGGGTAGATTGATTCCCACATGGTACGAAAAAGGGAAAGGTCGTCTGTGGAATCGAATGCTAAAAACCTCGTGAGACACCAAGCAAACTGGCTGTTTTCAACACACCAAAGAGCTTTAAGAACAGACAAGCCGATTGGTGGATTGACCGCATTGAGTATCGCAGCTTGGAAGCCATCTCTGAAACCAATGCAGAACCTGTCATCCAGCTTGTGTCGGGACTGAGGAAACCCTGGTGGTGACAAAAGCAAGGGAATGGGCACGGTTGTGGCAAAAGCCCAATCAATGATACACGTAATATTGTATTGATCGTCGACAAATATGTTGTTCGTAGTAAGATCTGGATGGCAGAGTGGAAAGCTGGGTGGAGATGTGATTTCGGACCAGTTTCTCGCGTATTCAGAGATCAGACGATTGAGCGCGTGAGCAGCAATAATATAGTCAACGCGATTCGTGGCACCGTCAACCTTTTGTCCAATAGTGAGAAATTCATTCCAACGATCGCGGGCACCATGCCACTGATCCTTGTCCGGGTAGTCGTTCCTAGAGGGTACCGGTGCAGCAAAACAGTGGTGCGTCAACGGCAACATGTTGGCATGCTTGATCAAGGTCGCCATGAGGCTGCGGTAGAACTCATTTTCACTCATAAAAGGTCCACGATGAATTCCTTTCAAGGAATGCCTCTTGTGTTGTATGTGACCTTTTGATAGGCATTCTCCTATAACAAAAAATCCATCTTTCAGAAATAGAGACCCAATTTGAGCAAACCGGACTTGAGCAAGTTTCCATGTAATGTGGCCCAGTTGAGACATCACTTTGTTTATTTCGAGTGAATCCAGACGATTATGAAGGTCACTTCCCCCCCACATTGTTTCCAATGTCCTGCCCTTCGCTTTGCTCATCAAAATGTATGGGATCCGGACCGGGTTGATTCGATGGGAACTTTCGAAGATCAGCTCCAGGTCCGGGATTTATCTTGCAGCAAACTTACCAATAGGAGTAAACTGCGGGAACAGGTATGTCCGTGTAAGTCTTCAGATACAAGATCGTAGCAGCTTCGCTTGCAATAAGTTTGAAAACGCTCTCGTCAGACAGGTCCGGGTGATTCTGGACTGGCGAGCGGAGAACCCATTGAAGGCCATCTTCAAATAGAATGAAAACGGCCCAGTTGAAGCCACCACGCTTTGGGCGCTGATTCAAGTCGCATGAGGCTGAGATTCCCCTTCGCATCTTGGTTGCAAGTTCACAGAGCGCGCGCACGTCGAACTCGCTGTACTTAAAGAGCGGGAAGTCTTCCTTCCTGATATTCGGATCCATGATGGGCTGCTCTGCTGGGCACAACTTGGTAACCCCATGAACAGTGACACATATGTCATAACACAAGGTTTAGAGAAGTCAAAACCTCAATGATGTGGTAGCAAAGAAAGAACTAACGGCGTCGTTGCCTAAGAAAGAACAGTAGTACTATACACGTGACTACCATTTTGGGCCTCAAGATATCCAAATCCAACTCTCCGCCATAATATGTGTTGTCTTGGGGCATGGAGAGTGGAAATTTAGAATTTAGGCTGGGGATCAAGAGCAGAGGTGCTGGACCCTACGTTTGTTATAGGAATAAAGGAAAACGGTACATGCTAACAATATCATTACTAGAGCTGTACAGTGTAAAGAAATCAAGCATCTTTAGAGAATAGAAAGTTTGGAATTCAATCTTTATGCCAACAAAATAAGATGAACAGAAAAATAAGGTTATAGAGTACAAGGCATTACAAATAGAACAAAAGATCAATACCTCGCCGGACATCATTCCTGGCCGGTTCGGCCTTCAGCCACATCGAGACCCCACTCAGCCTTGAGGTCTGGAATAAGTATAGCAGATTTCTTTAGAATGGTCTCAGCAAGAGCCGGGACAGATTCACTAGTCAAGATCTCCAAGATCTGCAAATTCGCTTCCAACTCGCGGGTAATCCAGTTTCTGATCTCAATCGCAACCAGCGAATCCAAACCATAAACGGAGATAGGCGCAGCAGGATCAAGGTCTTCCATCGGACGCATGAGAATGCTAGATATCTTGTTGAGCACAGCAGCTCCAACGATGATCTCAGCCCCTTCACGGGTCTTCGATTGCCGGATAGCAAGTGCCAGCGAGATTTCAGTACCATTCTGTGCAGACTCGGCCAACGCACCCGCGCCAGCGAGAGTGGAGAGGCGCAATAGGTGCGACAGTTTGGAATCGTTTACCCAGAAGGGCTGTTCACTAGCCGGTGTAGATTTGACGGCTTCAAACCCGACCACGCAGTGTCCCTCGCATGAAAGGTCGAACTCGTTGCGGATTGCTGCAGTCACAAGACCGCGGATGTCTGTTGAGTCAACGGACTCGGTGCCAAGTTGTTTGGAGATTGCCTCGCGCTTCTGGTCATCGGAGAGGTATCCGACTCCGCGCACAATGGGAAGATCAATTGTCGAGCATCGCATCTTGGCTGTCTCGGGGTAATGGGCGAGCGCTGCCATGAAGGTTCCACTGGCGGCATAGGGGGATTGACCCATATTACCAACGAAACTAGCGGCGGACGAAAGACTGATGAAGAAATCCACGCTAGCATTAGTAGATACTAATGATCGTTGAACGTTCCAGATTCCGTTGACTCTGGGCATCATCACGGTCTGGTAGTCGGCGAAACTAAGCTTTTCAAAGAGAGTATCCTAATATAGGGGTTAGCGGAGATGCGATTTGTTGTTTGGTGTTAATAAACCTACCCGGAGAACCATAGCGCCGTATACAACTCCACGAGCGGGAGGCATACGAGCGAGGAGTGGAACAAGATTTTGCTCAACGCTCTGCTTATCTGCTACATCGCAGCGACACACTTCAACATGGATACCCTGGCGAGAAAGATCCCGGATAGTTTGCTCTGCTTTTTCAGTCTTAATACCACCTCGAGAAACCAAGATGAGATTCTTGGCTCCCTTCTCTGGCAGCCAACTGGCGATGTCGAGACCAATGCCGCCAGTTCCACCAACGATAACATATGAAGCATCTGGCCGGAGGAGATTGTCATCCCTTCTAGCGGGATGTACCTGTATAGTGAGTTAGCGATCATCCGCTAAACACGCGACTGTCGTAGATTTGAGCAAACATACCTTGACCATCGAGTTATCCGTAACCTGTACAACCATTTTGCCAATCACTTGTCCACCCTGCAGGGCGCGGAATCCAATCTCAACGTCCGAGATCGGAAGAGTGGTAACAGACCACCTTGACTGGGCGTTGGTGTCGACGAACAGCTTGAACGCATCACGCAGCAACCGCCTGGTCAATTGCGGACGCTTCTCTCTGACCATCCCCAAGTCGACAGATGCGAAGGATATGTTCTTGTTGAAGTGAGCCATCTCCAATCGAGAATTTGTGGTAATATCTCGCTTGCCAAGTTCAATGAAGCGACCAAATGGCGCAACACATTCGAAGGTAGCTTGCAAAGCATCACCGCTAAGCGAGTTAAGAGCGACATCCACACCTTGGCCACCAGTGGCTTGTTGGATACCTTGTGCAAATGACATGTCACGACTGAAGAAGATATTTTCTTCCTTCAGCTTGTATGTGTCCATCAGGAAGTTTTTCTTTTCGATACTACCAACGGTCGCGAAAATATTAGCTCCAACGCTCTGAGCAATGATGATCGCCGCTTGACCAACACCTCCCGCAGCAGCATGGATCAAGACGCTCTCATCCCTAGACAATCGTCCCAGATCAATGAGAGAGTAGTATGCAGTACAGAACACAGCTGGAATCGAAGCTGCAATCTCAAATGGCATATTGTCAGGAATGATCCAGGACCCAGAGGCTGGGCAGCGAGTGAAAGTCGACAATGAACCTGGTGCCATTGCACAAACTCGATCTCCAATCTTGAAGTCAGACACCGCAGCTCCCACTTGAGTAACAACTCCACTACATTCCTGTCCGAGCCTGTCGCCTTGAAGCTGGCCCATGGCCATCAAGACATCTCTGAAGTTGAGACCTGTGCTGTGGACCTGAATCTCAATATGGTCTTCGGGCAGAGGTCCATTGCAGGAAACATCGTCTGTGAAGTATAGCTCATCGAGGCCCCTGCCCTGACCGACGGCAAGTCGCAAAGCCCGATCTTGTTTGAAAGGCTGCATCTGCGGAGGCGCATCTGGTGTCTCTTGCTGGACACTGAGGTTCAATGCGTTGTTATCAACCAGGCGAGGCACACAAACTTTGCCATTTCGGACAACAAACTCCCAGTCATTCTGGGCCAGCTGAGATTTCTGGCAGAAGACTCCGTTGAATACCTTGAGCATGTGTCTGACAGCCAGAGCATCGGACATGGTCTCCCGTTCTCCCAGGTCAAGCGTGGCGAATTGGAGGCCGGTCTCCGATCTCACGGTGCGAGCGAGTCCGATTGCCATGTTCGCGCCTAGGGATTCTAGGTCAGTTTTAGTGTGACGAACAACCCACAATAGGCCTCGAGCCCGGCTCAGAAGACGCTGCAGGGTCTGGAATTTTTGCTCAGTGAGGTGCGATAGGATCGAGCGATCCATTCCCCCTAGGAAAATGCACCATTTCCCGGTGACATCAACATCATCAGGGTCCGTAGCAGTGATGGGGTCAACTCCAGTCATCTTTCTGAGGCCGTATTCAAGGCCAAGGGACGATAATGTGCCGATTGAGTTGATGCCGAGAATCACAATATCGCCGGGGTTTGTAGGACCAGTTGGTGGGATGTTGGCGGTGGATGTCATGAGACAACCAGATTGGAAAGATGCTCCAGGGTACTCCTCGACACACAAATCAATTCCAGAGAAGTCATTCTCCTCCATGACCTTTCTCCATCCTTCGACAGTGAGGAGGGGCCCGTCCTTGCGGAATTTGTCATTTGCCAGCCACCATCCAGGGAGGAGCGCGAATGGGAAGTGACGTGCCTTGGGTACAGTTTCCTCAATGAGCAGGACCTTGCCACCAGGCTTCAAAAGGCCTCGGATGTTTGCCATTGTTTGGCTGATATCGGAAGTAGCATGCAGCACGTTGCAAGCAACAACAACGTCATATGTACCATTATGGAAGCCTTGCGCAGTGGGATCAGCCGACACATCTAGTGTCTGGTATGTCATGAGATGTCCCCAGTTCTCGAACTTTGTCTTGGCCTTTCCAAAGAAACCTGGAGATATGTCGGTATAGGTGTAGTGCCCAAACCGAGGGGTAGATCCTGCTTCGCCTCCGCCCAGACTCTGCAAAATAGGCAATGTGGCACCGCCTGTTCCCGCGCCGATTTCAATGATGTTGAGGGTAGGATTCTGATGTGCCATCTTGTCAATACAGACAGAGGCATTGGCATAAGCCTCACGAAGAGCGTCGAGGTCGCTGTAGTGTCTTCCGATTCCGTCATCCTCCAGAAGGACAGTCAGGGCGTCTACCTTGCCCCTAAGAATTTGCGGAAGTAACTCTCCTACTTTGTAGGTTAACTCACCTGCTCCGTTGACTGTTCTGTTCTGTTCGAGAACGTCAAGGGGCAAGGGAGGTTTCTTGCCCGCCTTTTGGCAAGTGTTCTGGGCCCAACGGTAGAACTGCTGATGATGGGGCTCGAAAGTCGACACCTCGTCTTCAGTCACAGATCTGATCATCTGTGCAAGGTAGTGCTCGGCCACAGATTCCAGTAGGTGCATTCTTTCAATTCCTTGGGCCACATCAGTCTCGGGACGAGGAAGCTGACGATAATCTTGGGCGGACAGGAAATCGAAACAGGGCTCATATTGCATCTTGTAGCAGATCTGATCAGGGGAAGTGTCTTTTGACCCTTTGATATCGTTGGATATTGGCACCAAATTGATACCACTGATTTCAATGAGCAGATTCGCTGGGTTGCTGGGAGCAGTGGCGAATATGTGGTTGGTCTCAGGATTGCTTACCGACTCACATCCTGATTTGTTGCCATAGAGCTGCAGTACAGTGCCGGCAGTAAGTTCTTGAGACAAGGAAACGGTCACTTGCTTGACATAGGACGGCACATGGGTTATGTGTGGGCCAGGCTCGCCGAAACCACCAAGGACCCACATGAGTTGACAGCATAGATCAAGTGTAACGGGGTGCACAATGCAGGATGTCTCATGCCCGTGGGGCATCGCTGCCTTCGTGTCTGGAATGCGGATGGTAGCCACTGCTTGACGATTCCTACTCACAGAGACGTCGGCGAGTCCTTGGAAGAGAGGACCGTAACTGATACCACCACTGGTGATATTCTCGTAGAGTTCGTTGCTGTCCACGAGCACATTGCATGAGTTGCGCATATTCAATGCTTGTTGGGTGAAACGTGCAGTGGACTGAAGCTGCTGCCGAGACCCGTCGACAGGATTAACATCCTTAGCTTCATGCACCATGATGAAACCATTGCAGTGTTGGTCCCATCCGCGACCCTCAGCCCATGAGAAAACCTTGAACTCGTGCCAGCCGAGGACTGATTTGCTAGGGGCTTCCGCTCGGGATGGCTTCAGGCTGAGCATTGTCTCCACGGTCGAGTTCTCCGGGATAGTGAGGATGCGGTTAATGAAGATATCGCGCAGATCGACCTTTCCGGGAGTAACATGGTGCATCTGTGCATGTTGCGAGATGGCCTCGATGGCCATGGTCAAGAATCCAGTCATTGGATAGACACTTCTGTCGTGTACCTTGTGCTCACGGATCCAAGGGTGGTCATCTGCACGAATAATGTTCCTCCATCGAGGCTCAAAGTCGACATTCTCTATGCACAATGAGCCAAGTATATCACTCCGAGGGAATTGACGATGGAAATGGTTGTCGCCTAGTCTTGAGCTGAACCAATATCTTTCTGAGTGGTTCCACGGGTATTTAGGTAGATTTGTCATTACGGCTGGCTTCCTTGTTGCTGTCTTCGAGTTCGGGAAGTTGATAGCCTGGAAGTCCAAATTCATGCCCTGCGTGAACAGCGAACCAGCGAGGTTTTGGACGGCTTCGATATCACCAACCTTGCGTTTCAAGGTGTGAAGGTATTGCACGTTGGAATTTGGGGCGTATTTCTGGGAAATGTCTTTGACGGGTGTTTGCAGGGCAGGGTGAGGGCCGATTTCAACCAATGTGTTAATTGGCGCACTTGCCTGCTCATCGGTCACAAGGCTCTTCAGGCCCTCGACAAACTCCACGCGGGAGACCAGATTATCGACCCAGTAGTTGCCATCTAAAGCGCTCCCTGGAACCAATTTTCCGTAAACGGTCGAGTAGAATGGAACCTCAGAGTCCCGAGGCGCAATCTTGCCGAGCAGGCATCGATATTCATGCGATACAGTCTTCATATGGTGAGAGTGGTAAGCGACTTCGACCTGCAGTCGTCGTGTGAAAATCCCTTCTTTGTCCAAGGCAGTTTGCAGATCGGCGATGACATCCGCATCTCCTGACAGAGTCACGCTTGTCTCGCTGTTCACACAGGCAATACCGGCCTTGTTCCCTCGCATGGCGTCCAAAATTTGCTGGATATCTGAGGCGCTAGCTCCGACCGCCAACATACCTCCGTTGATAGACTTGTCATTTGCAACCAGGTTTGCTGCAACACCACGAGAGTATGCCACACGGACACATTCCTCAAGGTTCAGAATTCCAGCCGCGTAGGCTGCTGCGATTTCTCCACTAGAGTGACCTACCACCGCCTTGGGGCGGATACCCCATGATGAGAGCAAATCAACCAACGCTAGCTGCACAGCGGTACAAGCAGGCTGGCTCATATATGCGGCAGAGATAGAGCTTGCGTTGGGGTCAGTCAGGAGCAATTCATCTTTGTGTGGGATGTTAGCGTCGGATGATATCGCTGTATGGAATTCACTGTAAACGTACCTATAATTGAGAACGTAGCGCCGAGGGATTTCAAGCAACTATCTACTTCTTCCATAGTCCGCTGGAAAACAGGATAGGTACTCAGCAGTTCCTTGCCCATACCGTGCCATTGCGCACCTTGTCCAGTAAACACAAAGCCGACAGTAGGCTCTTTGGAAGAACGAACAGGGACTGCGTCTATAGACAGCGATGCGGTAAGCTCCTGTCCAAGGGTTGCAGAGGCTGCCAGTCTCCATGGCAAAAATGTCCGTCGCTGTCCCAGTGTATAAGCCATGTTATCCAAAGTGCTGTCATTGAACACCACCGGGTAAAGGTCTAGGTACGCTGCAATTGATTTTCCAAGCTGGAGAGCAGCCTGTTTATCGTACGCAGAGATAACATACAACTTGCGCTTGAGGGGGTCGTTGTTTGCTGCAAGGTCGCCTCCGTGTCGGGGCCCGCGCTGCATAATAACATGGGCATTGGTCCCGCCAAAGCCGAAGTTGTTTACACTTGCGTATGGTTTTCCGCGAGGCCATGGGGTCAGCTTCTTCGGAACCTAGATAGGTGTTTAGCAAAGTTCGTTGGTACTTGAAATACCTGATCTCACCTTCATATTCCACTTCCCCATGGGTATCTCATCATTCGCCTTCTCAAAATTGCAGTTCGGGGGTACGAAGCCTCTTTCAAGTGCCAGTGCCGTTTTAATCACAGAAACAATACCACTCGTTCCTTCTGTATGACCAATGTTCGATTTGACGGACCCAACAAGCAACGGTTGACGCGGAGTCCGTCCTTTTCCAAAGACGGCATTCAACGCAGTGGCTTCGAGAGGATCACCAACTTTGGTCCCTGTGCCGTGAGCCTCGACAAATCCTGTCAATGACGGGTCGATCCGTGCCTCTTCATAAACTTGACGAATCAACGCTTCCTGTGCCTCGCCATTTGGCATTGCAATACCCCTGGTCCGACCGTCTTGGTTGAGGCCCGTGTTAATAATTACAGACCGGATGGCGTCCCCAGCAGCCTCAGCGTCCTCGAGTGATTTCAATATAATACATCCGGCGCCTTCACCTCGTCCAAAGCCGGTGCCGCGGTGATCAAATGCATATGAGCGACCAGTGTCGGCAAGTAGTCTTTTAGGGTCATTTAGTTAGCCTATGTGTGACAGGACTACCAAGTACACTTACCTAGAACGTGTCATCGAGATGAAAGCCTCGGGGGTTAAATTCAGGTGACATCCTCCCACAATGGCCATCGAACATTCGCCATTCCGAATACTCTGAGAAGCTAGATGGAGAGCAGACAGACTTGAAGAGCAAGCCGTGTCGACCGTAACACTAGGCCCGTTCAAGTCAAAATAATACGAAATCCGATTCGCCTGCAATGACATAGCCGTTCCAGTGGCAGCATACATTGGAATAGCTGAGATATCTCTGGTGTTGTTGATTTCATAGTCGGGATATGAGGCACCTGCAAACACTCCAACCTTTTGGCCGCTGATCTCATGCGTCGGGATTCCAGCGTTCTCGAGCGCTTCGTACACACATTCGAGGAAAATGCGCTGTTGCGGATCCATTGATCGTGCTTCTTGGAGTGTAATGTTGAAAAAGGGCGCATCGAATAGCCCAACATCTTCTTTTAGGAAGTGGGCTCCTACTGGGTTGAAGGACCCTGGTCGATCGGGATGAGGGTGATAGAAGGAATCAGCGTTGAACCGGCTCTTCGGAATCGGCGACCAGGCACTTCGGCCTCGTGAGCAGAGATCCCAGAAATCCTCGGCCGTGGAAACGTCTCCTGGAAGGCGGCAGGACATGCCGATGATGGCTGTTCGCTTGGGTACATCGCCGGTAGCATTATCGGTGATATCGTTAGGCTGTTCGTACAAAGAGGCATTTGCACTCTCGACAACTGGTGTTCCAGTCCCGGAGGGCGGTTGAAGACGCATCTTTGATAGATTCAGTGTTTGGTTTGAAAATGTCGAACTATGTACCTAGTAGTGTGATCACCACCAATGTCCAGCAATTGTCCAAAGAAACGAATATCGATTTGCAAGAAAAGAATGTATAGAACAGTACAATCACGGAGCGTTCGAAACGGGCAATCGGTTTATCCAAGTACTTCCTGAAAGGCAAAGCATAAACAAAAGGGCGTCAAGACGGTTGGCTCTAGAGTACAACGCCCTTGCATGACCATCCAAGCGTGCGCGTGCCGATCTCTGTCTAGTAGTTGTCCCAATCGAAACAGGGGATTCAACCTTGAATCGGGCAATGATAGGTCGGGAGAAGCCCCATGCCTCCAGAGCCGTGTTCCTTGATGGCGAATCCAGCAAATCGCAGGCATATCAATGGGATGCTCCATGCATGAAACGTCACCTCCACCCGTCTTTCATTGATGGTTTACATGATTGCAGATCAGGATCAATAGATCTGATCTTGTCCATGTCTCGATGGCTTGGACAGTGCTTGCCGGATGCCCTTGCTAAGGCGAGGGTGCGTATACCGTACATTCCACCACAGGGGGAAAACTCCGACCCTGGCAGATTCCTGATGGCATAATTTGGGGCCGCCTCCTCGCATCGAAAGTGCCTTTATAGAACACTCCGAGTGGTATTTTAGCATCTCGCTTTTCTCCGAAGATATTCCCAGATCATCACAATGAAGTTCCTATGTCTCCCAGGAGGCTATTGCAGTGCCACGGTATGTCAAGCAATCACGTGAAATGGAATCATTTAGTTGACTTCGATACAGGCTCTCAAAACCCAGCTAGGTAAGCAGTTGATGTGGTGAACGCTCGAAGAAGATATTAATCGGTCTAGGCCCGTTTTGTGATGCCCTCGCGTCCAATGGAAATGCCAGCTTTCTCTACACACAGGGAACCACCGAGGTGCATGTTCCCCCAGAATTTGCTGGTTTCTTCGGTCCACCACCCAACTATACCTTTATCAAGGTCGATGGACCAGCCCTGGGGCATACAAACATGAGTGACTTCCCGAAAAGAAACACACCAGAAGAGGCAATGAAAGCCGCCACACAAGCAGCCGGTGATCCCACATTCTCATGCATCACCGAGGTCATGGACCGTCTAGTTGGCATTCTTGACAGCGAAGGCGATATTGATGGTGTGATTGGCTTCTCTGAGGGCGCCCAAATTGCCGCATCGCTTATTCTTGAGGAGCAAAGAAGAGAAAGAGAACTTGGCCGGATACCTCGACTTAAATGCGCGATACTTTTCAGCGGATGGCCACCCGTGCACCCGGTGTCTGGCAAGGTTGTTACAGCTGACGACTATAATGAAGAACCCATTACTATTCCCACCTGCCATGTTGTCGGTGCATCGGATCCGTTCCTTGATGGGTCGATGGCATTATACAACATGTGCGATCCAGACACCGCTGATCTGTTCGATCATGGAGCGGGACATTTAATTCCAAGAAAGAAGCAAACTGCGGAGGAGATTGCTTTAGTTGTACGTGAGATGATCAACTGTACGGCTTGCTCTGTATAGCAATTTATATAGCAACACATGACGAGCTTGTATTTAGCATGAATCTCCACGACTTTGAATCCATTTCATGTTGAGCTTATAGACATAAATATAGCAATCATCACTTACCATCTCTACTGCAACAGCGGCCTTGTCTCCGCTTCTTCTCCGTCCTCGATCTCAGTCCGACTCTCTGTCCCCTTCCATTGAGGAAAGAACCTAAAAAAGGACACAGGCCCCGATCTCCAGCGCCACCTAGAAGACCACTCCCCTTCCTCGTCAGACTGCTCATACTCTGCCTCCTTCCAACGCCATCGGGTCCTGCGCACAAGCCACACCAATCCAACCCCTACCGCGCCCAACGCCACCGTCACAAGCGCAGTACCCATTACCGACAGAACAGTCAAGGTACTAGCATTGCATCCAAACGGCGTAGCTCTTAACTCCCACTTCTCCTTGGAGCCAAGGGGGCAGATATTTGCTGAGCCGAAAGGCGCAAATATTGGAACCCGCGATGTATTAGGAACACAGGTCGAAGACTAGAACATAAGAATCAATAGTCAGCTCCCTCCAGCACGGAGTAGAATATCATGCGTCATATCGTGTTGATCAAGTCAAAGCAAAAGCAATAATGGAGGCCCGTGGTAGGTGTCGCCTTGAAACCCCTCTCCCCATTCTAGGGATGCAAGGGAGGATGTGAAACGAATACGGTGGGTAGGAGTTGCGCATATAGAATGCAAATAAACAGGAAGAAGGGAGGAAATTGACTATAAAAAGAAAAGGACAAGACGATATGTATGACCTACTATAGCACACCAGCTGCAGGCAGCATCGCCATGCAGGCAACTTGAACATGACTGTCGACCCCAGCAAATACGGAAGAGCGGATCGCTGGGATTATTCAAGGGGAAGCTGGAGTTTTCTTCGGAGTTGTCCATATTCCTATAGAATGCCATGTAAGGTTCTTGTGATATGTCCTTTTTCCTCAATAGTCAGATTTCCTCCCCTTGCATTGGAACGGTAAACGTACTTTGCCTCTAAATTGGCGGGGTTAACCCGTCAAGGTAAAATAATCGTAAGAAATATACGGAGTAAAGAAATTCCTATTCGATTTGCAAGTGAAACATACGACATTATGAATTGGAATTCGTGTACTTCCTTTTGGGCACATATGTACTTTTGTCACTGCCTCCACTACGCAAGTATACAAGTCCCACAATGGCATGATGGTCTGGGGTCACTGTGTTACAGATTTATATTATATAGACTTGATGCATGACACCGTGGCATGTAAACGTGATGATTTTATAGTAAATCGCGCTCATAACGAACTGGCCCAGGAACACCAAGATCCACTGCCGCTCGTCGATACATAACAGGAGAAGGGACATGTTTTTGATCAAGGGAAGAGGGTAAATATGGAATTATGGCTCAGACCACCCGCTTGACCTGCATATTGATCATTAGTATCTTATCTCTATCTCCATCAAATCAACCCACGTACCTCGAAGAATCTCTTGAGCCACCACACCTGGAATACACCCTCGCCAATAACCACCATAAGCTGGAACATACTCCACCACTTCACGCGGCCGTTGGTGCTCTCTGCAGTATTGCGGTGTACTCGCTCACGCACAACAATGTACGACTGCTCATCCTTGACCTGCGACAAAGCCTCGCTAAGTTTGCGAACTAGATAGTGCCAGATGATCAGTCTCAAAATTATTCCGTGAGTTGTTCTTCTTCGCCGCGCTTACCTTCGACCTCGAGGGGATCCTGCGCCATCTCGCTTTCGGGCACATAGACAATTCCGTGGACGTTGAAGGAGACCTCCTTGGAGTTGGAGGTCCAGCCCTCGTTGCTGAAGCAGTAGTTGTATTTACCATCAGCCATTGCGGTGAAGGAGTAGTCGTCCGAAGAAACGGATTGCTTGAAGTACTGGCGGTTTCTCAGGGGATCCTCGACCTGCGGCGACCGAGTATTAGCATTTGCGTTCTCAATTTGAATCTTCCTCCATCCCGATGTATCAGCTGGGCTGGTCTCAAAAGATGTAGACTCTCGGTTTCTGAATCCGATACCCCATGCCAGCACCACCATCGGAGCAGACGGAGATTCCCGAGTGACAACTAAATCACCCAACACCAAGACCCGGACCGGGATATTTCATACCCAGAAATCAACCTCGAGGTTTCCGCTCCCTCCAAACTCCCGATCTCCAACCTGGAAAGTAACAGTCATGACATCGTCGCGGTGCAGTGTCTCGTGGAAGCATTCTCGTGAATGAGACTTGAGCTGGATGGTGTGTGCGGTCGCGGCGGTGATCCACCCTAGCGCGGTGACCAGAATAGTGCTTGTTGAGAATCGCATGGTGAAAGGTTTCGGCTGACTCTGGTGAGTCTGGGGGAATTGACGAGTGAGTGGGTGGTAACGACGGTGTTGCTTGTCAACGCGCAAGGTGTCAATTGGCGACGCTCGGACCACTTTCATAAACACCGCTCCGCCTTGAGATTCGGTCTTGGCTCGACGGAGTCCGCGTATACTCTTGAATGCATTTAGAATATAATTATGGATTAATCTTTCTATGTCTATTTGTTGGTATCATTGGAGTGTCCTGTGGGACTCATCTTCATCTGAATTTACAGATAGGCAACTTACTGCTACTCCAACATATATATCGTCCATGGGGTATACTGTGTGTGCATCAACTACAGACATATGACCATATCTATCATTCGAAAACCGCGTTGAAAAAGTTCTGGTTGACCAATGTGGATAACAGGGGGGGAGATATTTAATAGTTAACGATAAATCGAGCACTCAGGGAATAGGGAAGTGATTTGGGTATGGCCGAACTTGATGGTAGTAACAAGCCATCGATCTCGCTGGGAAACCGTCGACTCACAGCGGCTATAAGAGGTTGGCACTTCAACGAGCATAGTAACGCAATATGAATAGAATAAGGAGTCTGAATTTATTCGAAAATAATAAATACTTGGACAGTAATAAGCTACAGGAAACGCAACGGCGAAGCGTGACTATCAACACAGCTACATCCGACATCACAAAAAGGGGGTGCATGGATAATATAGAACAATCAGAAGTAAAGAATGATAAGGATTGACTATTAGTATGTGTAGAAGGGGTGTAAACGATAGGACATGAAAAAAAATGTAAGTAGGATATTCAATGTACAAGATCTTCGGGGGGAAAGGTAAAAAGCAAGCGAAATAACGGCGTGGTATCAAATCCGAAAACGCAAACGTTCATCGGCCAGGAAGCCGGAAGATAGGTATGTATGTCGAAAGGGGGAATATGGTAACGAGAGGAAAGAAATCTGAGAAATTGGCGCTGGCACCAAACGCAGGGGATGGCAGTAAACGATGAAAAGCAAAGAGATCACAGATCATCCGTTCTGTAGCCATTTTTCTGGCGAGAAAAGGGAAAAGAAAGACCAAAGAAGCACCGTGATGAGATGGAAGGTTCAAAACAATCTATGGGTGATGATCAATGGCGGGAGGATCACTCTTCCTCAGTGGAGGGTTCATCAGAAGAGGAGACGTCAGCGTCGGCTTGGAGATCACTTTCTTCGGCTTCAGCCTCGTCAATCTGAGGCCCAAATGGACCCTCATCGTCCCTCTCCTTCGGCGAAGCCGAAACCATCCCATCAACGGTACTCTCGTTCTCATCCGCGTAGCTCCCATCCTCATAGTTCGCCGGCTCAGCGTCATGGTCATAACTTGAGCGACGGAGAAGAGGCGGCGTTTGAGGCGGTTCCGTGATAGGTGCCTGGCTGCGAACCGAACCGCGTCTTGGGCCTCTCAACGGGCGAGTTTGCGCAAATCGCGCGGCAGCGCTAGTCTGCGGGCCAGTACCGTGCTCTCGGACGTGGGAGCTCGGGGGTGTTAGCAGGCCTGAGAGGAAGGTGCTCGCGTTGCTGGGCTTTGATGGGGTTTGTTCAGAGCTGTCGGCAGCGGATTCGCGACCTTTGCGCCAATTTCCCCAGGCGGCGGCTGCGGCTAGGGGAAGAGAGCGAGGCGAGGCGGCAAGATCGGCGAGGGAGGGGAGATGACCAGTTGCTAGGCGTTCCTTTTCTTGCTGCTGCATTTGGAGGTTGGCTTTAAGACGGATGGCTGCGTCGCGGACGGCTTGCTGATTGAAGGCGGGCTTGGACACAGTCTGAATGATGTCTTGCAGGTCGTCAATGCGGACGCCTAGGAGCTCACGCAGCCAGGTGATCTCGGTGTCCTTCTCCTTGATCTTATTTGGTGCATCTTTATCTATCGCGGAGACTTCTTGTTCGAGCTCCTCGATGCGTGTCTCGCGCTGCTGGAGTTGGTCCTGAAGGACGAAGATTGACTCGCGCAGGGCTTGAGGGGAGATTTTCTCGGGCTCTGCGGATCCCTTGTTGTATGACATGGATGGTGTCGCCCGCGAGTGCGAGGGTGCGGAAGCTGTGCTTGTCTTGGCGCTGTGAGCTGCCTCAGCAGCGGCACGGGCAGCAGCCTGGGCGATCTCAAGCTTCTCTTCAAGGAGGTTCACGCGCTCTTGCAGGTGGTTAGCCTTGTCCTCGGACAAAGCCATGCGCTCCATGTTATGAGATTCACCGCGAGCACGATCCTCTGAAGAGTTATGCAAAGCGCGAGCGTGACGTTCACGCAGGTCATTGATAACGCGCTCATGCGTCTTGCGGGTCTCATCGATGGCAAGGTCCTTAGCAGCTAGGGCAGCAGCCTTTGAGTCCCTGGCCTCCTCGAGAAGAAGCTCATAGCGCTCGCGAGTGGTATCGGCATCCATGCGGTTATTGTCAAGTTGAGTTTGCAGACAAATGATCTGGGCCTCTAGCTCGGCACGCACAATATTGACCTGGCTGTTAGAAGCTTCAAGATCTGCCTCCATCGAGGAGCGAGTGCGCTGTATCTCGACGCGGCTGCTCTCGCGGGCTTCGATGAACTCCCGCTCGAATCGAGCAGCCTGGATTTGCAGCTCATGATTCTCCGCCCGGAGACTGGTGATCAGTTCCTCCAATCTAGCATTCTCTCGCTGAGATTGCTCCTGGATGAACCTCAACTTCGTAGCCTCCCGCTCGTTCTTTTCGAATTCGCGAACATCCTCCTCGAGCTTCTCGCGCAACTGGAGCTCGCGCGAATGCGACGCGCGCAGCTCGTTGTACTTAGCAGAGTGTTCTTCCTCCTTTCTGCGCCAGGCAGCTTGATCGCGGGTAATTTCAGCAGTGACACTGAGCATGTCATCTTGCAGACGGTCGAACTTTTCGGTGAGGTTCTGGCGCGAGATCATGCTGTCTTCGATGCGAGTTCTCAGGTGATCGATAGTCTCATGAAGAGACTTATTCTCACTCTTGGTAGTCTCCAGTTGGCGGCGGAAGGTGTCGCTAGAAAGACGGTACTCGTCGAGGGTACCCTCAAGCGCGATGTTCTTCGTGGATAGCTCGGCAATAGTAACCTTGAGAGTCTCGCTCTCTTCAGAGAGAGACTCAGTGCGGAACTGCATCTTCTCGAAGTAGGGAATCTTCTCTTCCTTGAACTGGAGGAGACGAGACTCAGCATCCTCTGCAGCAGCACTGTGACGAGCAGCATCTTCCTCTGCGAACTTCAACAAACGCTGGAGCTCAGAAATAGCATCCTGTGCATCGCGGCGTTCCTTGTACTCCTGTTCGGCGCGCTCATCGGCGACTCGCAACATGCTCTTGAGGCCGTCAATTTGAAGCATAAGGCTGTCAGCACCAATCTCCTCGGCCTCTGATAGTCGGGGGCTCGGGGGTTTCTGCAACGCGACCTGCTGAGCCAATTGCTTGGCCATGGCTTCCTCGATAATCTCACGCATATCACCAACAGGGTCCTGAGCGAGCTTCTTAATCGTGAGAGCCTGCAGTTCAGCAATGCTTTCCTTGAGCTGCGAGATCTCGCTATGGCTAGAGTGCGGGGAAACACGTTGAGGGATGTCATGGGTAACTAAAGCTTCCATGACGACATTCTTGAGCATCTCCAACTTGCGCTCCCTCATGTTGTGGGGCGAGCGTTCGCGAACCAAAGCCTCCTCGCCATCATCGTCCTCATCATCGGCGTCACTGTCTTCCATCTCAGCTGATGTGCTGCGGAAGACCTTTCTACTTGCGGTGTCAGTGGCAATAGAAGCCACCGACTGCTGAATGACAGCCAAGGCTCGCTCCATAGGGCCTAAGCGTTCGTCGATAGCGGAGCCAACAAGATCATTGATGCGACGGTCGAAGAAGCGGTTGCGGTTCATGAACTTCTCATCTTCACCGGCGGAGATCATGTCATCCCAGTCACTGACATGGTCATTCTCAGTGATAAGGTGACGAACAGGGGACTGAAGACGGGAGATAAGGCTCTTCTGCGGAGAGAAGGTAGCATTGCTGTTGCCATCGATATCCGAGCCAAGTTTAGGAATGCTAAGCTTGTATGTCTTGGGGACTCCACCGGGGCTCGGGCTGGGGGCTTCGCTTCGGGCCTCCGCAGAACCAAACCGTTGTTCCTTTGTGGGACCACCCATCGACTCGGTGAGGTGGTCGTGTCGTGGTTGGAAGGGAGTAGCGTGGATCATGTGGTAAGGAGTCATTTGCCGCTCGATGCCGACATCTGCGTCGTCGTCGTTTAGCTGTTGCATAACCGCATTCAGCTCCTCATCGTTAGGTGAGTCAGACTCTGAGTCCCATGGGTCATCGTAATGTTTAGATTTGCGAGTGAGGAATCCTGTTTCCACGCGGCTTGGAGTATTGGCCTCAAGCTCAGCACGGTGATCTGGCGAGATTGTTGTCTTAGGTGGGCTTGCGGCAGCGAAGCGAGAAGCCATGAGCCCGGCTTTAATGGGTTTACTTCCAGCGGGACTCTTGACAGGCGTTCCGATGGGCTGCTTGTCGGTACCGTTTGCCTCAAGGGGCTTTGGCTCAGCAAAGCTAGATGGTTGAACAGTCGTGGGAACAAACTCAGTAACAGCAGGCTTGAACTCGAAAGGCTGGGCATTAGCCGAGAGCCTAGTACTCTTGATCGAGCTCTTGGATCCGTGAGGAGCATGTTCGACACTCTTCGATACAGTGACGGAGGTATTATCTCCCACAGCAGGTTCCCTTGGTTCACGTTCTTCGATAACAATGTCCTTAGAGGCCATGGCCCGAATCGGTGATCCAGCTTGAGAACCGTCCTCAGCTTCACGCTTCACATCGAACAAGGTCCAAGTGTCAGCTTCGCTAACAGGAGTACCCGTCCGCTCTGTTGGATTGTTCTCTTTAGGCATAGCATTCTCCTTGCCCTCGGCGACTGCATGGAGGGCACTAGAGGCTTGAGCGTTGCCGGCCTCGCCCAGAGGGTTGGTCGAGATACTATATCTAGCCTCGCCTTCAGCGTGGCCAACACCGCGACGCGCACGCTTGTGGCGGTCAGTAGGCACAGGTCGACCACTGGTGTCGTCTTCAACAGCTTGCTCTTTTTTGTTATTCTCCTCTTCGACCTCATCGGGCCGCACAATAGGAATAGCCTTAGACTTCTTGTCAGGGGTGGTGATCTCGCTGATGTCAATGTCGCCAAAGATCTTGGTGCGACTAGCGGGAGGCTGCTCGGAGGTAGGGTTTGAGCTGAGGTTGACAGAGGCGTTGGGGTTGAAAACAGGTGCATCGACATTAAACGATGCGGCAGAGAACTTGAATGCGCCACTGCCATTGGCATTGTGGTTCTGCTTGGGGCCCATTGGGCCGTTCATACTGCTACCAGGCGTGAACGCGGGGGGTGGGACAAACCCGAACCCTTGCTCGCCCAGGCCACCGAACTGGAATGGGTCATTCCCGAATGGCACAGGCTGGGAATTGAACGATGCGGTAGGGTCAAATTCCTTAGCTGCAACGTTGAGTGATGTAATCGAGAGCTGCTCCTGATGGCCTGGACGATAGGAGTGGCCGCTAGTCTGGGCCTCATGCCACGGACCTTGGCGAGTCTGCGGAGTACCCGCAACGCTGGGATTTGTGTCGAGATCAGACGCATCATTGCCATTGTGTTGTTGGTATTGGTCTCCGTAGAATTGGTGAGGTAGCTGGTGCTGGGCAAAGGAGTGAGGTGGGTGGTGTTCGTTCTCTGGCAATCCCCAGCGTGACTTCAGCATGCTGGCATTCAGACCTGTAGGATTGTTGCCATCCCGGTAATCGTCCTCCAATTGTCGGTCAATCGAGTCTTCCAGATGGTAGTCGGTATGTGTCATCTGGTCCAGTCCTCTCTGCAAAGTTTCGCTCAGATTATGACCGTGGCCTCGAGGTGTAGGCTGGGCAAGCTCGACGTTCGATGCGTGGAAATGATCTGGGTGTCCATTGACCGGGGTCTGGGGAGTCTGGTATGGTAGGCCCTCCTGGTGCATGCCATGGCCAAATTGAGCATCGAAAACACCCTTATCCTTGATTCCTGCGTGGAAGGACCCTTGGTCATGTAGCGGAGAGACTGGTGAGAGCATGGAGGAAAAGTTGCCCATTGCCCCTGGTCCCGAAGAAATTGCCTGGCGGGCATTCAAGAAGCCCTGAGGAGTCATAGATCCCTGAGCAGGAGGCGTGGGCTGGAATTGGTATGGGAATCCGCCCATCATATTTTGCTCGGCGCCCATGAATGGCGTTGGCATACCGAACTGTGAAGCAGGTGATGCCATTGATCCCATAGCACCAGGCGTAGGCATTGACGGTTGATTGAAGTGAGGTGAGAATGGGTGGATATGGCCAAGGGGGTTGCTTGCTGCAGACGTAGTAGGAATCGGTGGGGATGAGATGAGGCCTGGGAAAGGAGTGCCACTGAGATTGAGCGAGTAATCGGGTGAAATAGATTGTTCAGGCTCATCGTCGCCAAATGATACTCCAAGGGCGCGTAGCTTTTGCTCTTGGAGCTCGGTGATATAAGACTCCCACTTGGCCCTGTCTGGGAAGTTTACGACAAGTGGTTGGACCTTGGAAATTTCATGCAGCTCATATGGGTCAGGATATAGGGGTCGGCTGAGGCCTCCTAGAGTCGCCGTTGTGGAGGGGTCCTCGGAATCGCCAATAGTGAACCCACGAACATCGTACCCTTTGTTCTCCCATTCTTGCATCCGCTGTTGAACGTCTTCTGGTGTTAGCAGACGATACCCAGGTTGCGAACCCCTCTTGTCATCATGTGGTAGTTCAATTATGCAGGCTTTCCCACGCCAATTCAGCTTCTTTCTCCGCCGTACTGATTGCGTGGCTGATCTGATATCAGAGACCTGTGTTTTTGATGGAACTGGGTTGAACGGTTCTTCCAACTTTGCAGTTTCCTCCATCGCATTTGCGGGCGGAGGAGGCAACGGCTTCTCTACCGGCGAGTTTACCTCGACGGTCGGTGTGTTCAAGTCTGACATGTTGTTTTGTGGTGGATCTTTATCGTAAGCGAAACCCCAAAAGTCCTCCTGTCTCAGGGTATCAGCGCGTTTGTGCAAGGTTTTGTTGACTTTTGCACGCGCGGCGGCTTTCTTCCCAACAAAATCAGAGAGAGTTGGAGTTTTCAACAAATCGTCAGAACGAAAGTCGTCTTCCAGACCAAGCCAGTCGTCCGAAGCGTCGTCAGCAAAGTGATTCCTCGCAGTGATGAACGACGGTGCTTCACTTCCTGAGTCGTCGCTGAGCCAATTGCTGCGCTCCGTTCTAGGTTGACCCGTAAGATACTGGTTGATCCAATCCTGTGTAAATTCCCGTATCGATTTATCTCCGTTGTTTGGGACGATATCACGGTCCACGGGTTCGAGGGTGTTCTCGTCGGCAGCACTCAATCTTCGAAACTCGGTGCGGTTGGCTACTGACGAGACAGGAGAGGTGGGGGCAGATCCGTCGTCGATGCCAGTGAATTCGTGTTGGCTATTTGACACTGAGAGTCTCCGAGTGCTAGGTGCTGCATATGGGGATCCCCACGCGGTGGTGTAGTATATGCTACTTTCCGCCTTGCGATTGACTGGTGAGGAGGTCCGAGATTCTTCAGTTGTGCGATATGAGGATAAGAATGGAAGAGGCGGGGGTTCGAGGGTGATGCTCCGCGGAGAGGTTCGTTGACCGGGGGAACCAGCGGTCGATGGACTCGATGGCGGAGAGGACAAGAGTAGTGAGGGAGCCAGACGCGACTCACGGATGAGGCGCGTGTCCCGCGAGTGGAACTGTGGAGAAGGCGCCGAGATGGCGGAAGAGACGGATTGATCTAGATCTGTAGTCATCCAAGATGGTTAGAGTGGCATATTTGGAGGGGTCAAGAGCGATTGAATCAAGGGAGTTGAAGAATGAAGTGCAAGTCGCGTGGCAGCGCGGAGTAGGGAGCCCAATTCCGCAATTTCGGGAAGGGTTTCAAAGAGGGACAACATCAATGCATACACACACCTTCCGTGTCGACTCCTGCAGCAAGCACTTGCTTGCCGCTCCGCTTATCGTCCAGAATGTTGACGCATGGAAATAAAACTAGAATTGAAGACCACCGCTAGCAAGACAACCTGGGGCGAGATGCTTTACAGGTTATCTTTTTTTTATTATGTGAGATAGGCGCAACTTGCAAACAAAATAAAAAGAAAAGGGAGATCAAAAGCGCGCTCGAGTCAGAAGCATCAAAGACCAGGATGTGGAACTAAGGGGAAAAAAAGGTCGGACGTCACGGGTATTGGATCGTCGTACTGGGTACCTCCTAGACTGTGGGTAGTGCGAACTAATGCGGTGTACAGGGTACCATAGGCCCATCCAACGCCTATTATTTGTTTAGCGCAGCGGCCGTTGGCTTATCTTCTTGGCTTGGCTTTTTCTGACAATGTTCTACGAAGTACAGGGTACGCACGCATATGTACCCGACTTCAAACCCTTGCAGGTCAAAAAGTTTAAGGGTATACTGTGGTACTTAGTACTCATGTTCCCCTTACATAGTAAAAGTAAACAATGAAATTGGTGGAGATGGAGATTCAGGGGTAGAATCGAGAGCTTCCATGGATTCGACCGTACCACCCCCGGAGCCGTTCGCGGATATTCAATTATGACTAATGATTTCTGGCTGTATTGACCAATCAGAGCCTATGCCACAAAAAAGAGTCCCAGGGTTTCATATCTTCAGGCTAATTGGTGAGATTATCTACGGGCACCGGGTTATGCCTGTTACGCACCCCCTAAGCCCTTTCTGGTCCTTATTCTCTCCTTCAAGCGCTCTCTGCTACATTGGTACTCATTGTGAACTTCAAATGTCCAACTACATTTGAGGATCATCTGTTTAAGAATCCTAACTCTGTATCTTGATGGAATGACATCTTCCTATCCGCTATTTCGCTATGAGGGATCTCACTAGTTATATAATGCGAATCAACATACCCAGATTCAGATTTAATCAATTAATCTGAATCAAAACTTTAGCAAAGTGTTTCTTTTCCTTAAGGCGCCTGTATGCGCTCTTTGTCTCAGCCAGCTCAAATACCACATCATCGACCGCCGGCACAATTTTATGGTAATCAATGAACCGAACCAACTCCCGAAATTGGTTGCGACTGCTGGCCAGAATGCCACGAACAATGCACGTATGTAGCAGAGCAGCAAACATAGGAACAGCGTCGACAGTAGACTCCCCAACCTGGCCAATGACCAGAACAACCCCATCCACGCGCACCGCCGCCAGAGACCGAGGGAGTGTTTCATTGCCGCCGACATCGATAACGAAGTCCACGCCTCTCCCACTAGGAGTCAATCGTCGGGCATCCGCACCCCAGCTCATCGGATTAGCCTTGTAATTGATAACGTGCGCCGCACCCAGCGTCTTTAGACGAGCTGCCTTCTCCTCAGACGACGTAGTCGCAATCACAGTCGCACCAACTGCGACTGCGAGCTGTAGAGCAGCAATGCTAACCCCGCCGGTGCCTTGGATAAGTACCCACGATCCTGGGCCCGCTTCGCGGCCCTTCAAGCCAAATAGAGCGTTCCATGCGGTAGTCCAGGTGCAAGTCAAGGTAGCAGCAGGAAGCCAGTCGAGAGACTTCGGCGCGTGGACAAGACCTGCTTCGGAGAAAACACCATGGGACCGAAGCGTGCCATCAGTCCCTTGACCGAGGCAGGCGAGAGTATCGGCGACGCCCGCGAGTGCGTCATCTCCATGAGATTCAACAAGTTTAGGGGCGACGTGCGTGAGTACTCGATCGCCCAGATGGAAATCGCGGACAGAGGATCCCACGCCTTCTACTATGCCGGCACCATCACAGCCTGGAATAACAGGTGGCGTGATCGGTCCATTGATGCCCTTAACAAGGTTAGGATACAAAGATAGGGCGTTGTGGGATTCAAGCATACCATAGGACCTGCGATGACTAGTTCGCGATAGTTCAAACTCGCTGCATGCATGCGAACAAGAACCTCGTGGGGACCCAATTCACGAGTAGATGGTATTCTAACGTCCTGTTGGTACTCCAGGGAGGTCTCAAAGCCTTCTTGGCTCGTTAAAACCCATTGTCTGGCCATGTTTCAACTCGTCGTGGTGGTCGTACAGAAATTAAGGAACTTGTAGTGGTAATAGAAGATATTGATGTCTGAGGTGGTCGAGGACATTATTTAAGTATTTCTGGAATAATGAGAAGGCTTGTTTGATTTCAGATGGCTTCCAATTTGATATTCCTAATTAGGAAAATCAGATTGAGTGGCGTTTTAGTGTGGTATTCGGTCCCTTTGCCGACAACGCAGCATAAGCTCACAGGGACTAAGTCATCACGGCTGTTCAGAAATAAACGAGAAGACTCCTGATTGAGTTCAATAGCTCCACTCTTATTTTCCTAATTAGGAAAATCAGATTGAGTGGTGCTGTATACTTGGAGATCGATTATTCGTTCAATCCATGAGCTCATTAGCGGCGTCGTATAATTCATGCCAGAGAGCTTTGAATAGCCCCATAAGACTAGACTTGTTATTGTTACACTTATCTTGCAGGAGGCTGAGTGGTCTGTTCCAACCACGCAACTGCATCGCTCGCACTTCCCGGGCCAACCGGTCAACAAACCACGTCCTAGGGAGCGAGTCCTTGTCGGCAGCAATGGCCCCGATCATCAGCGGAAAGGAAGTTAAATTCATATAGGAGCACCCTTTGATCGGGAATCGACATATTGATTCTTTCAGTTCCCCCGCAAGAAGTGTCAAATAAGCACCCGACCGCGATGGCCAGAGGAGATAGAGTACCAGTTCGATCGTTCGCGCGGTGGCCTGGACATATACATTTCCAACAGCTCTGAGAGCACGTACTTCGTAATGCAGCTGGGACAGTGGCTCCTCGATCTCTCGCGCCACCGAAGTCTGATCGAATCGGTGCTGATGATAGGACTCGATCATTTTTTGTAGCTGGATCACACTATCACAGATTCTTTTTATTTTGAGGATACTCTGATCACCATAATCAATTAACGCTTCAAGAATGCGCTCATGATATATTCGTGGGAAATTGAAGATGGCGTTGACGGAATCCCTTCAGAAAATGATTAGCTGGGTTTATCTCAAGATCAAAGGTGCACCAACTGGACAATCAGATCTGTCATCCATGATGGCGGTGGGTTCATGGCGCGCGATTTTCTATCTTTGATCATATGCGCGAGGCCAATGATATGAATATTCCAGGCGACGTCATCCTGTTCCAAGGTGGCACCGAAGGCTAAGGTGGTAACTGCGCCGAGGACACCGTCCGTCCGAGTACCCGTCGACATGATTCGCTGCTTGATGAGGTTGACAGCTGTATATGAATGGCGATATGCTTTCAATTGCCATCCATCGTCGGGCGACCAGTGCCGTGTTGCCACCGCCAGTGTCGCCTCGGTCAACGCTGGGTCTGAGGCAACAAGACCAAACCATGCTGCTTCACTTGCGCTGCCGGGAGCATGTCTGCCCTCTAGAAAGACTAGTTCTTGGATCCTGTGGACTGATGGCCATGAGCCAATGTTCTATAGCTCTTGGTGATAGATACTTACAAAGTGTTATATCATGAGCTGCGTCGGGATCAGTGTGTATGAATGGCAATAATGTGATATTCTGGTTATTTTCGGGCTTTTCTCTCTCCCTCAGCGGCTGCCGGGGATTCTTTCTCTGTCCTCTTGGCTCTGCCCCGGTCGACAGAGCACGCTGACGCCGCTTGGCGAAGTTGGTTTTCGTGATATGTGCCCTCATTCGCTTCGCGGCCGGTGGAGAGATGCTGGACGCGCCTGTTGTATTTAGGAAGATAAAGGCCGGTTGCTCCATTTCTGATAGTAGTCGTTGATGAGTGTTGGGGTGGTGCGCGTCCGCTACCGGGGTACATGTTCGGTTCCTGACCATATACGGGCGGCTGACGGACTCAGTCAGCCCGGGCGAGGGAACTGCATAGGTAGGTACATTGTAGTCCCATTCAGGTTAGATCACATTGATACTCAAAAATCATGTGAACATCCAGGAGGAAAGGCGTTTCTGCCCTCAGAAGCCGTCATTTCGATCAATTTCACGGGTCCTCAAGATTCTACATGCAATTAAATTCAAACTCAGCACGATGCTGCATTGCTCATGCCCCGTTTACTTAAAACAATCACAGACAATTAAACCATATTTCCATTGAAGTAGGACATAATTTCCTCGGAATAAATCAATACAATCTGAAAAAGAAACCGCTAGTCGCGGGCAAGCTATCAAAGCAAAGACACTTCGATGAAGCGAACAAATAGTCACACAGTCTATTTAGGGCAGGTGGTATCGAACTTGATCTTGCGCTCGGCAGTGAACAGACCCCAGTGCTGCTCATCCTTCATCTCACCGTTGTCACCCTTGGTATCAGGCTTCCAGGACTCATCGAAGGCCTCGAAGTAGAACAGGTCAACACCCCAGTCGAGCATGCCACAGATACCAGTCTTCCAGAACTTCTCCGCATTCTTGGTACCCGCCTTGGCCTCCTCGTAGTCAGAGCCGCCATCGGTGGGCCAGCCGGTCTCACCGGTGACAATGTTGATATTCTTGGCGTTGTCACCGGCAACCTTCTGAATGTGCTCCATGGCGCCAGCCATATCGTCGAAGTAGGTCTGGTAAGCCTCATGGGCGGCAGCACCCTGCCAGTAAGCAAAGGCATTGGCCAAACTAAAGAGGGTCAGCATTGCGCAAAGCTCCTGTCTTCCTCATTTTCACTTACACATATTTCACGACGGGCTCCTTGGTGAACAGGGCGTCAGCAGTGCCATCAGCAAGCTTGTTCCAGCTCTCGGCGGTGCCGACAAGTACACCCTTGGGCACATTGTCCATAACATGGCTGATATAAGTGTGGAGCTGGGGTCCGGTCAAGTCACCACGGTAGAGAGTCTCGGAGCCGACGGTGATGGCGTGAATGACGTCTTCGTAGCCGGGGATAGCCTTCTGGATGGCGGCCCAATCTCCCTTGAAGGAAGGCTCCTCCAACAGATTCTTGGTATCAGTAGGCTTGCCAACCCTAAAGAAGAAAAACTTGGTTAAAAATAGTTCCCATTAGGGGGGAAACAACAAAGGACTTACCACATGCCGAGAACAACCTTGAAGCCCTTGTTTTTGGCAGCAGGCAGGATGTTTTGAGGAGTCTTGCACTCAGTGCCGGAGTAGGTACGGACGAGAGTAGACAGGCCCTTCAGGGCATCGAAGTCGGCCTCATAGTCGCTAGTGGACTTACAGGTACCGTCGGCGTTCTTGTTACCGAGCGAGAAACCAAGAGTACCCTTAGCAGAGACCAGGGCCGGGGCAGCGGCCAGAAGGAGGGAAATAAGAGCAGAGGCACGCATTATGAAAAGGTCGATGAAAAGAGAGAATTCGACCAGAGGACAAAAAAGGAAGTTTAAAAGGAATGTAAGAAAAGTAAGTACGTCAGGGACCAAGAAAGAAAGACCCAGTCGGAGATTCGGGGGGGAAATGAGGGTTTAGGCCCTGACAGTCAGGACTTTGTTAAGGCGGAGGAAAGTTCTCCACTTGGAGTTTATAAGGGGTAAAATGGACCAATTAGAGGTTATTATGCTATTATTGGATCCATGGATGAAACATCTCCCCTTTAAGGGTCTGGACTTGATCTTTTTACCTCTATATCCTATTTCGTACTCATAACAATTGATATTCTTGACTTACGCTGGATTGTAATTCCCTCATTCCAGAACGAGAATTGATATTCAAGATCCATCTCCATCTTTGATATCTTTAAGGCCAGTCATGATGTCACCTTGACAATTCTTAGATGTCCAGATCCAAACTGACCCTTGGATACATGCCATGTGGAGAGTATTGGGGGAATCGATCGGATGGCCACATTGTGTTTGGTCCACACCGCCCACAGTCTCGCCGATCCCAATCGCTTCGGAGAAGAGAACCACAGAGAGATGTCTTTGGAACTGAATCTCCTATGGTTCACTGGAGTCTGGCCGGTCTCTTTCTCGCAACTGCTTCGCCTCGTAGTGGCTCGTGCATCCTCAGTCTTGTCCCTTACAGCTAAATTGTGCTTGAGATACCTCATACCACTGCAGGTTTCACAATCCGCTAATCACCATGGTCAATGCAAATGCATGTTACATGGTGTATATCGAGATTGCGCGAGGATTGGTCAATTGCAGCCAATGGTGGCCCCATGTCACTGTTTGCCATCTTGAGCCACATCGAGCCACCACGACGTCACTAAGAAGCTGAAGACATGTTTCTTTCCATTCAACCGACACTTGACTCATTTGAGCTTCTATTGCTACATAGTACCTACTATTAATATATATGTAGCTTTGCAGTATAATAACCGAGGGAAGACACTCAGGACTACTCTTCTCATACAAAAATAGATATAAAATGCCATGTACAACATAGATATAACCTCACCTTTCCTCTTTACCACCGTTGATAACCATATGTTGAATGAATAGATGGGATTGAGGTGCTGAAACTAGGGCAGTATACTACTGAGCCACTAGGTATGTGGGGGCCTGTCAGAATGTCAGATCAATGGCAGTGCTCTGTGGCTTAGGATTTCCTGGGGTTGAGACCGCGTGGAATGCGAATGTAACCCAAGTTCTACTGTCGACGTATCCATGTGCGTTTCACAAGGCTAGCATTTTCTGTAAAAATCAGCTCTTGTTAACAAGCTCTATTATACACAATTTGTCTGACATTATTCGTAGAGGGTATGATGATAATTGGCGGTGATCGCCTGTCTAGAAAGAAAAAACGCCCGATGGTTCTATTCGCCCCAGCCATCATTTGTGAGGCTACCTATGTGATGCTAAGTCTCAAATCCATCCATCCTCCCCAAACGCCGGCCAGCCGAAATCACAACGCAAAGTTTTTCTCCTTCAGATAGAGCTCCCTGAGGGTGCTCAACTGAGTCACAGCCATGGTCTCCCGCTGGAGCTTGCGGGGAAGGTCGACAATGGCATAGTGCATCAAGGCCAGTCCATACTGGCCGAAGAATCCGATAACCCTCTCACCAGACGATCGGAGGAGGGCTGCCAGAAGAGCAATATGTGTCTCCTGTAGCTCCGAGGGCGGAATAGCTAAGATCTTGTGGATAGACGCCCAGAACATCGTATTAGGGAAGGGGTTTCGGCGCGGTGACTTGGCGAAATTTCGAAGGGTCATGGCAGCATAACCAGCACCCAGAGCGGTCATGCGATCCATATGAACTTCTTCGGTGACCCAAGAGCCAGTATCCGCAGAGCGCCACCAGCCTAGGGCACGGCGACCTCCTTCGGTCTTGTCATCTCCTGTAAATCCCCACAGAGCAGGGCATACAACACGGTACTTGGCCCACATGATATCGGACATGTGTAGTCCCTTGTAGGTAAAGATATCGAAGGAGAAGATCTGAGCGGCAACGATGCCGATCGGCTCAGCGTGGGATTGCTTAATAGACGCCTCAGCGAGGAGAGAGGATACCAAGCTCTTGGCGAAAATGTTGAGTCCGTAAATAAGCATTGCTGGTACCTTGTTCTCAGACTTTGCAATCTCCTCGGGTGGGAATGCGATAAAGTTCCGGATATCCACTGTCGGCTCGGAGTAGGCAAGGGCCTTTTCAAGTTCGGATTTGAGCTGAATAATCTGGATTTGATTCAGATAATCAGTGTCCAAACAAAGACATCCAATTAGGGGGGAGGGGGTTTCTACCTGTTGCTTATTGGCGCCGGTGCCAGATCGAAGCTGGCCAACAGATTTCTTGATAGAACGTCGTAGGTTGCCCATGGTCGCCTTGAGATCAGGTTGGGTTTGGCCAATATCCTTGAGCCACTTGCGCATCTCCTTGAGAGTCTTATGCAGCTTGACGTAACGTTGCTGCACTCGGATATCTTCAGCCGAAAGGTTTCCAGCACCGAGTTTCTGCTGCTGTTGGCTGAGGGCCTTTTGGTCGGCTTCATCTTGTACCTTCCGTGCCTCTTCGTCCTGCTTGCGTTTCTGGGCGTCGGCCTGTTCGCGTTCCTTGCGCAGTCTCTCTTCAACCTCAGCTTTGCGTGCGTTTTCAACGGCAGCGGCTTTCTTAGCCGCCTCCTCCTTGGCCTTCTTCTCGGCTTGCTCTTTGGCTTGACGTTCGGCCTCAACGCGCGCAGCTGCTTCTTGTTCGCGACGTAACTTTTCGGCCTTCTCGCGTTCAATCCGCTCCTGTTCCTTGCGGATAGCTTCTTCCTTCCGCAGACGCTCTTCCTCTTCGGCGCGGAGGTGATCCTTCAATGTTGTCTCCGCCTCCTCCCGAACGCTGTCATGGAAGGCGGCAGCCTCGTCGAGAGCGGCTGTATGAACTGCCTCACGCTCGCTATCAATTCGGTCCAGATTTTCGTAAAATAGTTTCCGTTCATATTGGTGGACCTTTTTCAGGTCGGCGTCAAAAAGTTTGACTTGCTCGAGATCGCGGACAAGATCGAGCATAAGCTGCTTGGACGGGCTGTCCAAGGGTGGGACATGGGTTCGGAAGCGCGCCATTGTGGCGGTCGACATTTGGGTAAATTATCGGTTTACTCCAAAGGTTTGTGGTGGGGAATGGTGGTCGTGGGTGTTTGGGGAAAGGTTGCGGAGAAGGTTCGGAGGACTAGTGAGGGGAAAGGACAGTCAAGTAAATATGGAGAACTCAAAGTGACTGAGATCATATCCGTATGTTGTAGTACGACTTACTCTGAGAAGTGCCTTGAGCAAAACGTGTTGGATCCCAAAGGAAAGTGAAGTTTGCGATTGACGCAGCAGGTGGTATCAATCTGAATTTGAAGGTAGGAGGGATAAGGTGGGATAAGGAGGAAAGGCACAGCTTGAGAGTGATTCCACCAAAGGTTCTGGGGTATGTAGAAAGCAAAGTGAATTGCGCATCCAGCGAATGATTCGACCTTGTCGCGTCAAACGTAGTTGAAGGGAGGCTCCATGGAGATTGAAGCTATGGGAAGGTTGGGATTAGCATGTAGCTTTCGAGGGGCACAAACAAAATCAAGCGTTTGGCTGCATTGCATAACCATCCGATAATAAGCGACACGAGGGCTTAACGTACATCGATGTACCTTTTGACCTTCAATATTTCCTCAAATGTTTCACTTACGCAGCCAAAAGAAAATAAATTACCTGTAAAGTTCAATATTCCCCCAAAGTTTCAACTATTTTCACCGCTTTCTCATCACCGCCTTTCTATATCACGAATATCCAGGCTATTAAACACGCTTGCCCTCACTACATAGTTGACTAGTAATTGGGAAGACTAAGATACATATAGAATATACAGAAAAGGTATCAAAAAAATATATCCTGCTAACTCATGTCAGCCAATTCCCTTTTCTAGTATATCTTACAGCCAAAAAGCCCTAGAGGGGCCCAAGACGGATGAGTAAGCCTTGAAAGACCCGCGAGCCGATTCGGTTCCCTGGCGCGCTCCCGCCTGGAAGCGTTGACGTTTACATCATTGTGAGCATCATCCATTTTGACCTATAATTGAGAGATAATTGAAAGCCCTGAAGACTTCGATGATACTGAAAGTTTCAAGGTTCCTACTAAACTTATCTGTTATGTTCAATTATTGTAATGTCTCAATATTTCGTACGGTTCTAGCTTTAAAAGACCCTAAGCTAAATGTAGCCCACTAGTTCTATATTTGAATTTATGTACGGAGTGGGGGAGCCTCCCACTTTCCGGGTATGCTAAACGCTCCCATTTACGTATAGACTCAAATGATCATACTAAATACTTTAAGTGGGGACTTAAAACAGTTCAACGGATGCATCAGGATGATGATGAAGTGGTAGGGCGATCATCCCATGGCTGATGGAACGGAGTACGGCGGATAACTGTCAGGGTATTTACATGATCCACTCAGGGATTATTGCCCTAAGAAGTGTAATAAATCGGTGTTTGGTCATTTCCGAACATACCTTTTTCTTTCCGTACCAATGGCCCTTCTCCCCACACCTCTTTGTATCTCCAGCATCACCTTTCTTCTTCTCCTTTCCCCCCTCCTCTGTTCTTATCCCATCCCTCTCTTCTTCCCCCCCATATCACTCCTTCGAGTCGAATTAGTCGATGGTTTCATCGTCTATTCTATCCTTCCCTCTAATTTCAGTATTTGCTGTCATTCTCTTCGGGGCTCAACTCTGAATCCCCGTCTTAGAACTTGGGAATCATCCTGAAGACAAGCTCGTTTCAACGGCTTTCTTTTGCTTAAAGTCTACCCCGATCCTCCGTCGAGGTACTTTTTGTCGTTTGCAGTCGTGCTTTCCAGTACAGCTCCATCCCCTCGGTCCTTCCAACTCCCGTTCAAAGCTTCGTCCCGTTGCTACGGTGTTGCTCGATCCAAGTTTACCTTGAACGTGCAATTGCCTCGACTTCTAGTTGCCATCATCTGATTGCTCCTCGTCGCCTTTTGGACTTGTAACACAAAAAAAACCGATCATCCACTTTCAACTCTGCAGACGTCATATTGGAATGCTAGGGTTTGGAGGTCGTCATTAGTTTCATCTTGCAGGTAAGAGGATCGTGATCTACTCCGCGCATTTGCTTTTGGAAGTTTCCCCCGGCTTTAATTGCCCTTGCCGCTTTTTGGTTATTTGTGAGGTCATAGTCAGATCTGCTTCTTTTTCGTACAACCACCCCCTTCATCCACCTCGACCTCCCAACACCCACTACCACCCCTCTGCCTCCTCCGATCGAAGCTTCCGTTGAGTCCGCCCTTACCTTGGGAATTGTACTTTTCATAATCGCTCTCGCATCGCCTTGATTCCTCTCTTCTCGTCTTCTCTTGTTTCTTCTGCTATCCTACACCCTTACTGATCCGCTCTTTATCACTCTTCTAGGATAATTCACGTATTGAAAACCACATTCCGCACATACAAACTGCTTTTGGTCGTCCTGTGATCCATCTCACTCGGCTCATTTGCCTTTGGCGCAGTACCAGTCTCTCCTGTCGCCGGATCCATTCCGCCCATCACACATACTACATTCTTCAGTAATTGCCAGCTCCTATCATCTGGGATCATGGATCAACAAAGTCAATCTGGGCCTCAAGGCCCGGGTGGCCGCAAGTTCCACATTGCTCATCGGAGAAGTCCATCTGAGCTCACCCCGTTGATGAGTATGTGGCCGCCCTCGTGACCGCCCAGTATAAAACCAAAGTCCCGTCATATCCGCTAACTTAAACTAATCAATAGTGGAACAACTGGCTATCCAACAACAGATCGAGTTGCTCCAGCAGCAACAGCAACAAATTGCTGCGACACACCAACAATACGTTAACATGGGGCTGTTGCAGCCCCAGCAACTGGGCCAGGTGCCCTCGTTTCAACCCGGTGCCTCCATGAGCGGTGTCTCCCCACAGCAAGTGAATGCATTCCAGTTCCCACAGGGCGGACAGCAGCAGCTTGGAGTACCGATGAACGGACCCAACCAGCACTCGCACCGTCGCAACCAGTCTGCTCTCCCTGGTCTTCCCATGGGCCCACCCCCTGCCCCGTCTTCGGGAGCATCGGGATACGATTATAACCAGCAGGGTCAAAACAACAATAACCACAAGAATGAGAACACCGGCCACGGCCGCGGTCGCGGAGGTCCTCCCGGCGGTGGTCACCAGCGCCGCCACTCGCTCGCTCTTCCTGAAGCCAAGAAAGCCGCCGAGCTGGCTCAGCAGAAGAGAACTGCTTCGGGATTCCAGTTCCCAGCTCCTGCTCCTGGTGCAAGTGGTTCCGATAACCCGTCTTCATCTGATGACAAGCCTGCACCCAGCGCTTCTCCGGCACCCCAGGCACCCCCGGGACCCGCCTTCCAGCGGGCCGGAAACATGCGAGCTGGTGGCCACGGCCGCAGCCAATCGATGGCCATCGGCGGTAACCGGGGCTCTATCTCCGGCCGGGGTGCTGGCGGCTTCCAATTCCCCCAAGCCAGTGAGCCCTCAACTAATCAATCTGATAATCAACGGCGAGCCAGCCAGGCTGGCCATGCTCGGTCTTCATCGCGAAACTTCGAGGGCAACTGGCGTCAGCCCAACAATCAAAGCCAGGGCCAGGATCAGCAGAGGCCCGTGGGTCAGCAGCAGGGTGGGTTCCAGCCTGGCCACCGATCCCGCGGCTCAATGAACCAGTCCATGGGCTCTATCGGTCAATTCCAGTATGGCGGCCAGCTCCAGCTTGGCCAGCTTCAGCTTGGCCAGCCCCAGCTTGTCCAACTCCCTCAGGGCCAAGTCATGATGGCGCCTCAAATGTTCGGTAGTCAGCAACTGAACCCCTCCCAGCTGGCTCAGCTCCAAGCGCTTCAACAGCAGAACACCCAAGGTATGGGTGGTCTGCAGGCCAGTCAGCATGCCCCGCCGCAAATGTCTGTTCAACAGCAGCAGCAACAGCGAAAGACCCTTTTCACTCCTTATCTTCCCCAGGCGAACCTGCCTGCACTCCTTAGCAATGGGCAGTTGGTAGCTGGTGTTTTGCGCGTCAACAAAAAGAATCGTTCCGATGCTTATGTCACCACCGACGATCTGGATGCTGACATCTTCATTTGCGGTAGCAAGGATCGGAACCGCGCCCTTGAGGGTGACTATGTCGCAATTGAACTTCTCGATGTTGACGAGGTGTGGGGTCAGAAGAAAGAAAAGGAGGAGAAGAAAAAGCGCAAGGATATCACTGATGCCCGCTCCAACAGCAATGCTGGAAATGACAAGCTTGGTCGCTCCGATTCCACTGGCGACAGACAGGAAGTTGGCCCGGATGGAAGCATCCGTCGCCGCGGTAGTCTTCGCCAGCGCCCTACCCAGAAGAAGAACGACGATGTCGAGGTCGAGGGCCAAAGCCTTCTTCTGTGTGAGGAGGATGAGATCAGCGACGAGCAGAAGCCGTTGTACGCCGGCCATGTCGTTGCAGTCATTGAGCGTGTTGCGGGTCAGATGTTCTCAGGAACCCTGGGTCTCTTGCGTCCCAGCAGCCAGGCTACAAAGGAGAAGCAAGAGGCGGAGCGGCAGGCCAGAGATGGCGCCCACGGCCGTTCACACAATGACCGCCATCAGGACAAGCCGAAGATTGTCTGGTTCAAGCCTACTGATAAGCGTGTTCCACTTATCGCCATCCCCACAGAGCAGGCACCTCGGGACTTCGTTGAGAAGCACCAGGACTACGCTAACCGAATCTTTGTTGCTTCTATCAAGAGGTGGCCTATTACCTCACTGCACCCCTTCGGCACTCTTGTTGAGCAGCTCGGAGAGATGGGTGACTTGCGGGTTGAGACAGATGCCCTGCTCCGCGACAACAACTTTGGCTCGGATGACTTCTCCGATGCCGTGCTGAAGAGCATTGGCTGGGAGGACTGGTCTGTCTCTGCTGAGGGTGATGCCCTGGCTTCGCGACGTGACTTCCGTGAAGAGACCATCTTTACGATTGACCCCGCCGACAGCAAGTCCCTCGAGGATGCGTTCCATGTGAAGAGCCTTGCCGATGGCAAGGTCGAGATCGGTATTCATGTAGCCGATATCGCTCATTTCGTTAAGGGTAACTCACTGGTGGATCGCGAGGCTAAGAAGCGTGGTACTGCAGTTTATTTGGTCGATCGAATCATGAACATGCTGCCTCCTCGTGTTTCCACTGAGCTTTGCTCCCTCGTCCCTGGCGAAGATCGCCTCACGGTCAGTGTGGTATTCAAGGCCAACCCCACCACTGGTGTTGTGGATGAGGATGTCTGGATCGGCAAAGGTGTCATCAAGAGCGCTGGCCGTCTTGACTACGAGCAGGTCAATGCACTTGTTCAGGGCAAGTCCGATGTCAACACGAGTGGCATCTCTGCCGATAGCATCCGCTTGTTACACGTAAGTTTCTTCTGATTCTACCATTCGTCTTGCATTTCCCCTCATGCTAACAAAAACACTCAGAACACTGTCGGCAAGTTCCGCGAAGCCCGCTTCGGTAACCGCGTGTCAGACGTTCCTGTGCAGCGTCTGCTGCAGCAGCTCGATGATGAGAATGTGCCAGTCGAATACAATATTTTCGAGTCAACCCCAGCACATGAACTCGTCGAGGAGCTGAGCCACCAGGCCAACTTCTTCGTTGCTCGTAAGCTTGCCGGCGCTATGCCGGAGAGAGCTTTCTTGCGCCGTCAGTTCTCGCCCAACTCTCGCCGCCTTACTTCATTTGTTGAGCGAATGAACCGCCTTGGCTTCGAAATGGACTCAAGCAGCAGTGGCAGCCTCCAAAGCTCTCTCTGCAAAGTGCAAGATGTGGATCTTCGCAAGGTAAGTGCATTTCCTGTTTTTCTCGCTGCTTTAAATACATGTATTAACGTATGATGTCTGCAGGGTATGGAGACACTCATTGCCAAGGCCATGCAGCGTGCCAAGTACTATGTCAGCAGTGGTACACCCGATGAAATGCGTCAACACTACATGCTTAATGTGCCCGTTTACACCCATTTCACCAACCCCTCCCGGCGCTACGCGGATATCATTGTGCACCGGCAACTCGAGGCTGTGCTCTCCGAGGGTACCGTGGAGTTCAATGACGATATCGAGTCACTGAACAAGACTGCCGATCTTTGCAACAACAAGAAGGATTCGGCTCTCAACGCCCAGGAGCAGAGTGTGCACATTGAGGCCTGCCGTAAGATGGACCGCAAAAGTCGTGAGATTGGCGGTGATCTCATCAGCGAGGGTATTGTACTATGTGTCTACGAGTCTGCCTTTGATGTCCTTATTCCGGAATACGGCTTTGAAAAGCGTGTGCACTGTGATCAGCTGCCGCTTAAGAAGGCTGAATACCGTAAGGATAGTCGTGTACTCGAGCTGTACTGGGAGAAGGGTGTTCCCTCGTCCGCATACATTCCCGAGGACGAGCGTCCCAAGCCCGGTAACTCCCGTGCTGCTCAAGCCGCAGCGGCTGCTCGCGAGGCCGAGGCCGCCAGAGAGCGGGCCAAGGAGCGTGATGAGGCCATGCGTAAGCAAACCGAGACTGGTACAATGTCTGCGGATGATGTCGATGCTCTCTTCGACGACGATGAAGATGTGGATGACGTCACTGAAATGGCAGCCGGTGTGTCACTCAACTCCACCGACCGTTCAACTCAGAGCATGCCCCCGTCCCCTACGCGCAACGGCCATCACCAGCAAGGACCTCACCGTACCCGCTCGGACCCCAAGATTGCCTCCGGCAGTGGTGATGCGCCCGAGAACAAATTGACCAACAAGGAGAAGTACTTGAATCTGTTCAAGCTGCGCGAAGTGGATGGAGAGTTCATCCAGGATGTCACAGAGATGACCCGTGTTCCCATCATCCTGAAGACCGACCTGAGCAAGAGTCCTCCGTATGTATTCCCATTCATTTCTTTTTTTATTTCTTTTTTTGCTTGCATGAGCGTTCCCAACTAATTGCGATTTCTATCTCAGATGCCTCACTGTTCGGTCTGTCAACCCCTACGCCCTGTAGAGGTCAGGTCTGAAGCGCGGCTCTGTTTTCTTCCATGGGATATATTTCTTGCATAACCACCCTGCAGATTCTTCGCTCAAGCGGAGTATGCTGTTGTCTCGTGCGCCTACGGACATAATCCAATCCCGATGCGGATCGAACATATCATTATCGGCATATCTATCCTTGGTTACGCTTTTTCTAGGTGGCTTCATCCAATTATCCCACGTTCTATCCATCATCTCCCCGACGTGTCCTGGGATTCTTATACTTATCCTGTTATATGTGCAAAGCGGTTGTTTGTCTTTTGTGAGCATTTTAGTTGAACCCTGGGCAAATCTCTTTAGTGCCAGAGCTTGTCCTGTTTTCTTTCTTCTCTCTGAGACGTTTGGGAACTTGGCGGGAAGGACATTGCAGCTCGATAGTCCAGAAAATCCTTCCATTAATCTATGGTATTACACACTTGTACCCTTCAAGGCTCTTTCTGCGTACAAATTAGTCTATCTTGTCATAAGGTCACCAACCTTGAAAGGCATAAGTCATTCCAAGGTTGATTTAGGGACAAGTTCAATTGCACCACATCGTCGCCTGCACTATGAACCAATCATTTTGGTGTAGCTCGGCTCTTACTACCTTGACAATTACAATAACTAATGGATTTCAAGAAATGTAGTATCATGTGGATTCAAAGAAACTCCTGGAAAGGAAATCAGACAAATGTTGCCAAAACCAATGCAAATTTTAACCCCAGCCTGGCCGTGTTGCCTATGCAATTGTAATAGAACCAGCTCCAGTCAGTTCTCCTCGCTCCTCGCTTCATGCAGTTTGTAAGTCCAGTTGAATTCGGACCATCAAGGGTATCAAGAAATGTTGCTAACGGGGGTAGTGAAATAGGTGTAGATAGAGGGAGAGTGATGCAAAAACGCAAGAACCAGCTCGAATCAAATCAAAAGTTGGTTTTCCCCAGCCACCGAAATGAATATGCGGTCTGAAAATGTAACGCAAGAAATCATCAATATTGTGTCAAGTTCCAGATTGATTGACGAATTTCTCAAAGCCGGCGAATTCCAATGCGCGGCTTTGCTCTGACGGCAAGACGTTTGTACAGGCCATTCGCCGCTTTCTTCTTAGGGATTCCAGCAGTGGAGGAACCTGAGAGAGATGACGATGAAAGTGATGGCGTGGGTAGTTGGGCATGTGCTGGAGAAGGGGGAGCAGAGCCATTGAGTGTCTTCATGGGGTGGTATTCGCGCTTCTCTTTCAACCCGCGCGCGGTGGCGGATCCACGGTTCTCTTTGCCATCCCCGCTCAGCCGGCGTAGGGGATCTTGCATGGGCAGCTGGGGCAAATCTTCGAATATTGGCATCTCATCGCGGAGACGGCCGGAGGCGTTGACTCCACCACAGAGTAGGGAGAGCTTGGGGGTTTTCCGTAGTGGTGATGAAGTACGGGAATGTGTGTTTGCGGTGATGTTTCGTTCGTTGGAGGTCATGGCGGGGGTATCGTTGTCATTGTCGGAGTCGATGAGCATCATGTCTACATCGGAATCTTCGGGGTATGCAATTGAGAGGACAGAGAGGGGACGTTTTCCCAAAGCTGTTTTACGGGGACTTGGGGGCGGGAAATAGACAGGAGAGGGGGAAAAAGTTGGGTTGTTTTCTTTGCTTGCGCTAGCGGGGTCGTCGTGGTCGCTGTCGCTCATGGCCTCGTCTGTCATGGGCGGGGTGGTTTGGGCGAAAGGATTTGAAGACGATTGTGAAGAATGTGAGGGCTGTGGCAGCTGTTCAAATGCACTGGTGTTGCGAGCAGTTTTCTTCATTGCGGAGGTGTGGGTGCGGGCTTGTTTCCGCGGACGTTTAATGGTTGGGTCTTCTTCTTTCTGCTCAAGTGTGGTCCCTACTTCCTCACCCCGGAGCTTGGCTTCAGTCACTGCGACTTTGAGGTTCGGCGGGATGGGGGCGTGGATTGAGGTCATAAGCTTGGCTTGGTGTGCGAAGGCGTCATAGTTTTCTTGCATGAGAGCGCCTGCAGAAGCATTGAGTGCAGAGTCAGGGTTGGGGTAGATAAGGAGACATGAGATTGTCTGAATAGAAACAAGCGATGTTGTTAGTTATCTGCGGAAACTCATTGCGCCGGTGCGTTCTACAACTCACCACCAACACATCGCGGAGGGTTAGATTGGGCTGCCAATCCCGCTTAAGTGTATCTACACAGACAGCTCCAGTGAGCTCCTCCATGTTCGGATGCCATATCTTTGTCTTAAATGTAGCCTTTGGGGGGCTCTTAGGATAGTCATCGGGCATCTTAAGATGGAGCTCCCATAATCCTTGTGAAAAAGGTGTGCCCGCCGGGCCCGTGAGGAGAATCGTCAGCTGTGACAGATCGTCACCATCCGATGGCTGCAAGTAGTACGGCGGAAGATCACGGTGTAAGGCAGCATGGTCGGCAGCTAGCCGGCGCAAATTGGACGGCTAGATATTCATCAGACCACGAACATATACTTGCTGGGGAACCAGTGTGAATGGGTTGAATAGGGACAACTTACCATGCTGGAGCTTTTGAATGGTAGGGTTATAAGATATCGGGCTACGAGAATGAAATTCAAAAAGTTATCCGGACCAGTGAGATCACAACAATCACAATCACAGTGATAAGCAGATGGTTACTTCGTCGACGGGTTTGTTTTGAGTGGAGGTCGCACTAACCTTTTTGGAAACGCGTCAGTCACGTGTCATTTGTCGCGTAATATGCGCGTAACTAATATTACCTCTTTAGGATTGCCCTATGTTTCACCACTTCCTTGCTGTAGTCCTTGCTATCCGAGACATCTATCGTAAAAAGCTAGGAATAAGGAAGATCGTTAATTGAGCGATATCATTCTTTTTGGACCGGCAACTATTAGCTGTATCCACACTATCCAACAGCAGCTTGGTGAATTTACTTCTTATATTGTCACATGTTATATAGAAAAGTCATATGCACAAAGCCTTTTTCCGCCTTTGTTTGCCATCAAGTATCTAAATAGAATGATATCTGAGGCCACTAGAGAGACCACTGGAAAGACTACTGAAAAGACCTCACGTGGCCGACTATATTTGTACCCCATAATTTGGCTACTTTATTCCTTAAGGCATCCGTCTACTAGAGTCAAATACAGCCAATCGCATCTAGTATAATTTACTGTAGACTACGAACGACAGAAAGGGCCAAGGGTTCTTAGACAAGACCCAATCGGATAGTTACATCAGGGGTGGTGTATTAGCAATATACACGAGGCCCAAGCGATGTACTTCGAGGCCCTTCTCCGGTGGCGCTGACGGCGAGTACTGAGCCACAGTCAGGCCAAGTTGGCAGATATTATATAGTTCATAGGTATTATATCTCATCCAACCGATTCAACAGGTCTGTTGCGATGGTTCTCTGCCAACATTGTCCGGGGAAGAAGATAATCTCAAGTACCCAAGTTATTAGCGCGAAGAGTAGTATAAAGATGCTGTCATGGTCTTACAGGGATCGTTGGGGCGGTGTGACAAAGAAACAAGCTTGATGGTATTCACTGAAGCTAGTTGTTTCCCCTCTCTTTCTCAATCTGCCGACGCTCCGAAACATGCCTCTTCTCTTGTGTCTAGAGAATCCTCTTCTTGGTAAGATGTTTTGAGAGTCACCCAATTGCAATACTGACTTACACTGTTTCTAGATGTCCAAGCCTTCGGGTATGGTGTTTGACAGCCTCAATGAATCTTCGCGGCTCATGGCTAACTTTTAAAGGACTGAGGCACTTCTCTCCAAATACGATCTGAAGGCCAACGACGCCATACTCGCAGAGGAGTCTCATAAGTCTATTTTTGATGACCTCATTAACAATCACTCGGCGGAGACAACCGCAGGTGGCGGCGCTCAGAATACCGCCAGAGGTGCCCAGGTACCATTGAAGTGCTGCCCCCTTCCGATGAAATAGCCAACATTTCTCTCAGTATCTCCTTCCACCAGATAGTGTTGTCTACATAGGCTGTGTGGGACGTGACAGCTATGCCGACACTCTACGGGCTTCATGTAAACAGGCAGGAGTTCGGGCGGAATACCTAGTGGACGAGACACATCCGACAGGCCGCTGTGGTGTTGTCATCACAGGTAAAAATAGGAGCTTATGCACAGACCTAGGCGCCGCAAACCACTACAAGCTGGAGCATTTGCAGCAGCCAGCTATATGGGAGATCGTGGAATCGGCCCAAATCTATTTTGTTGGGGGGTATCACCTAACCGTTTGCCCAGACGCAGCTCTAGCCCTGGCACAGGAGGCGGCATCTAAGAACAAGGTAAGCCTCTTATTCTCAGTTAGCAAGCTTGGAAACTAATTGAATGATCAGGTTTTTGCAATGTCGCTATCTGCTCCGTTCATTCCAATCGCATTCAAAGATGCTTTGGATCAGACTGAGCCATACTGGGACTACATTATCGGGAATGAAAGCGAAGCCCAATCTTGGGCACAGGCCCATAATCTCGAGGTAAATCTTCATTCTATAACTCATTCCATAAATCATTCATATACCACCAGCAAAGCTGACCTGAAACAAGACTGACGATATCCCTACCATCGCCGAGCACCTTGCAAACTTGCCCAAGGCCAACACCCAACGGCCACGCGTAGCCCTAATTACACAAGGTTCTTCCCCTACAATCTTCGCCATTTCCGGCATCCCTGGGTATAAACATATTCCTGTCCGTAGCATCTCAGGAACGGAGATCATCGACACTACCGGTGCTGGGTAAGTCGAAATAGCATTTATCTGCATCTTCGGCTTAAAAATTGGATATTGTGACTAACTGACTATCTCTGTGACAAGTGATGCATTTGCAGGAGCACTTCTCGCTGGAATTGCAAAGGAAGAACCATTGGAAACGGCTATTGACATGGGACATTGGCTTGCTTACTTGGGAATCCAGCAAATGGGACCAAAGTATGTCTTACCATTCCTCCGATTATATCGAGATTTGCTCACACGTTTTCAGTTATCCGCTCCCAAAACAATCTTACACCCCTGCCTGAGCGGCCAACTCGAGGGGCCATGATCTGACTATTAACTAATCATTTTCACAAGGCACACTTCGCTTAGCGGTACTTTGGGCTGAAACCGCCTTGCACGTTGGTTTTCAACAACCAGGATAGACTCTTACCACAATTTCTAGTGAAGAAGGTTTTGGTGCTCTTATACACGTTAGTCATCGATATTTCCATGAAACCAAACCATTTCCAGCCCGGACTTGGGATAAACGAGAAGCAAAAGATAAACTTGCGTCTACTTCATATTTTGTTTTCAAAGATCGACAATAACATGCCCAGGCCCGTAAACCTGGTAATTACATATGTAATCTAAGTCCGGATTATCACCTAGGCATCCTCCATTTGCTCGGATTATCCGATGTCAACTACTCCGCACTTTAGTCTCCTTTTCTAAGGCCTTACCCTGCAAACTGAATTAGAGCTTTCAACATCCATAAATCCAGGAATTCAGAACATGACTTGCTACCAACTTGAGACTGTTATGAAAAGACCAACTGTATATCGTACGACAACAATACCCACCTCATCCACGAGTTGAAAGAAGTTCTATGTTAACTAACAGTCCCCACATAAAAGGCAGCTTCAAGCGGAAGCTCCGAACCCGTATACTCCCTCTCTTCCGTTTTCGTTTTCGCCGAGCTCCCAAAACAACTTCACATCAGTGAAAATGCCCCAACCAAAGAGCAAAGTCATCTACACGCCCTCAGATGAAGCTCCCCGCGGCACAAAGTCCATCTTTCTTGCCGGCACCACGGAATAGGTATGAGATTGAGATGGTAGATAGTGTTAACTAGCTGAAAGAGGCAGTTGTGAAGAGGCTGTATTATTAGATCTTGGGATTCCGAGTCTGTGGGTTGATGCAGGAAGGGTGGATGGAACTATCTCTAGCTTGCCGCTATCGGTCGATTGTCTGATTTCTAAGAAATACAGGATTCCTTTTCATATCGAGTACTATGACAAGCACTAATTCTATCAAGATCCCATTGATAGAGCTTTTGGACTGGGTATATGAGTAATGTGGGTATAATATACAAAAGAAGGGTCTCATCAAGATCTTGTAGCAGGTATATCAAAAATCAGAACATGGTCACACAAGGAAGAACCCCAGCGCCACAAAGATAGCAAGCAAGCATGATATGCCAACCACAGCCAGTTGTTGCGCGGAATTCCGGACAATCGGATGGTGGATATAAGCCGTGACATAAACTGGCTAACAAAGAGGCCTCCAAGTGCCTCCATGCTTTCGACAGCGGTCTTGTCATTCTGGAACCGACAACTATCCGGCGTATAAGTCAGGGCAGAGTTCGCTACCATGGCGCATGTGTCATTGAGGCGGTCACCGGCAGGCCAATTCACACCCTAGGGGACCACTATTGTCGGACTTTAAAGGCCTCCTCGTCGCAACTCTGCCAGGTCAGGGTCCAGCTCATTTTATAGCGAGCCTCATTTTCTACAAGGTTGAAGTATTCATGTGCAAGGTAGGTGTCGTGGTCAGCCTAGTTGTTCCAGTATTTGGATGGTGGAAAGGCTTCAACACCTAGGATTGGACGAAGATGAGAATTTGTATGGTGGGAATAGCTTCATTACCAGGTTCCAAGGTTAAATATGGGTACCTCGCTTAGTAAATGAACTGTCATAGTTATTAATTCAAGTATTTAAATTTTTCTGTCTGAGTTCGGGCAGATGCAGGCAAATTGAGGCGCCAGCCTTACAAAATCAGGCTACGTCTCTCGCTTGCCACTATCCACATACGGATTTGAAAGAAATACAACTATTACTATGACAAGCACTGGTCATCATATCAAAGGATTGGCAGAACCTTTGTACTTGGTATGTGTGGTGTAATGCGTGCTCCTCGAGTACAACAGACAAAATTAGAATTCACCCACTCGTCAACGTGACTAGTATGTACCTACGGAATATGTACTCCGTACCTGTCGCATGATATGCATCACAGCCGGTGCTGCCCCTTGCAGTAGTTGAGTTTTGCTTTTTGCTGCAAATGTGAGCCATCGAGCTGTTAATATGAAGTATCATTGTGATTTAGATAGCCCGAAATTACTGTACGCTACAAAAACCAGTTATCTCTACAGTCAGGATACATATGCACAAAATAAGGCTCGTATTTACCCAGAGATGGATTAAGTTAATCACAAAGATAGAAGAAAAAAAAGTTGGGAAACAGGTACGCCGTGAATACACCTCTGGAAAGCAGTGAAAGACACGAGTCCTGCCCAAAGATAAAAAAGAATTACAAATTCCATAGAAAGCTTGGGGGCAAAACATCCCCAAAAAAAACCCGGTGCTCGCATTTTCATGTCCCTCATTCCCGTTAATCCAAATACTGGATTAACATAACCAACTGACCCAACTCTCGCCGTCTAATGAGACCGAAGTGGACATCACAGCACGATAGAAGACAAGAGCTTGGCATCAGCCAGTCATAGACTCCTGATTTGCTTACAGGAAAGCAGCGAGAGCAGCACCGGCAACCATGCCGAGACCGACGGGTCCAGCAGTGGCCATGGCAGCACCACCAGCGGAGGTAGAGCTGGAAGCACTGGCAGAGGCGCTGGCAGAGGCGCTGGAAGAGGACTCGGAGTCAGACGAGGTAGTGGTGGAGGAACCAGTGGGCTTAGTGCCTGAGGTCTTGGTGCCGGTGGTCTTGGTGCCGGTAGCAGAGCCGCTGGCAGAGCCACTGGCGGAAGTGGTCAAAGTGCTGGCGCCTGGGCCGGCGACAGGTGAGCTCAGACCGGCGGGGATAGAGGCGGCGGGCTGCTGCGAGGTCACGGCAGTGGGCTGAGAGGTGACAGGTACAGGTTGGCCAGTCACAACGCCGAGAGAGTTTGTCTGGGTCAGGTACTCAGTGGAGGGGTTCTCGACGGGCTGGAGTTGAATGTTAGCTTTTGTTGTGATATGGCATGATGTTTTTACTTACCAGGATGGACATAGTCTGGGCGCTGGCCAGGGCAGCAGCCGAGAGGGCAGTGAAGACAATGGAGAAACGCATTGTGATTAGAGATTATTGGTGAATTATGGTATGTAGATGTGTAGATGTGTAGATGTGATGATATGGAGAATGTGGAGAGATAAATTGAAAGAGAGAAAAAGGCTGGGGAGGAGGGGATTATAAGGCGTGGCGTTGTCCAGGGAAACAAAGTCTCATGTTGAAAGTTTAGAAATCGATACCTCCAGCCTTCCAGTCAGACAGTCAGACTCTCCAGCCCTGCTCTTAGCGTCGGGGATCTGCAAGGTCTCGTTGTTCTATTTTGGTCTATTTCTGGGGTCACACCAATTCGTAAGCTCTTTTTTTATTTAATATTATAAGAAATATTTGCCTCTTAAAATGCTACATATAACATAACAAATATATTCAACCAATACTCTAGAATATCTGACAGAAAAAAAAAGAAATCCTAAAGTTCTGGAATAGTTGGAATAGTTGGCACACGGGAGGGGGAGGCAATATGCGCCAAACACTAGCTAATTTAGCGTCTGAGCAACCTGGGCTGTACAGGGTACTTCGTGTGATGATCATAACAATATAGGGAATATATGGAATATAATAGAATATGGCTATGTGTCAATGCCGAGGTGTATGGAGGATTACCTGTAATAGAATGAGACATCTATATTCCAGTATATTCCATTATTCTATTATTCTATTCCAAGTATTTCAGAAGTCAGCCTAAAAGCTTACACTGGAACATACGCGTGGAGGCATACGAATCTATTTCGCCAAGTTCATTTCTGCAATATAAACATGTAATTAATTGGATATGAAATCCCGCGATTCTACGTGTCTGGTCGAACCAGCCTTCCGAGTGAGACATCACCTGCTGTCACCTATGCTGGTACTTTTTCTTCTCCGTACGGAATACTCGATGTTATTATTATTGTGTATATTACTCCGTATATTAATCAGAGTATTCAGCTTTAATATCTTCGACTCCATGTACTTTCTCACCTTGGGCCCTGACTCCTCAGATCATCAGTTTGATGTGGGTCCTTTTGAGACAAGTCAACGTCTTGCCTAAGACTTCTATATTTATATTTTAAATTCTGCCTTGGCGACAATAATATCCTATTTCTGGAATACAACATAGAATATCAGTGTCAACATATTATGTACCGCGCACATTGGGTCTAAGCTTGATCTCAGAGCACTGCAGTCTTTATTCTAACGAGGCCATGTAGTACTATTGACGTGCATATAGTGTAATTAGGTTGTACAGCTAACATATCAACATGTACTATGCAATATAGACTATATGGTCGAGTACTCAGGCATACCTGAAATTCACCTTGGTCTCGACTTCCCTACACATGATCAGATGCCAGATACGGAATTGCGACGATCACGCTGATCAAAGCATTCTCGGCTGACTCTAAAATAAGGCGTACCTTTTGTAACTAGAACCTCCTTGCCTATTACCGAGTCACAGAGACAAAATCATGCTTTCAACGGACGGCCTAGACTATGTATCGCCATCCGGCAGCGGTGTGGCGTAGAAATGCAAATCGGGTGCGCCAAAAGCGTCTATATCCGGCAGTGATCCCACTTACCCAGGTCACAAGCCAGGCCTACTAGTGGCGTGTCTGTGCAACCTCTTGGTCGCGCCTCCCGAATACATCGCAAGGTGAGAGTTTGCCACCCCTGCGTCACCGGCGCATGCCAGTTATTATCATCGAGACTCCCGAGGTCCATACAACAGATATACTAATCAGCAACAAACTGAGCATCTCAATTGAAAACTGAACTCCTCGCCGCAATGCATATTATACAGCTCCCCCCACTGCAGCACATAATCAAACTCAATATTCAATCACTCCTTGACCAACACATCCTGACCGCGAACCCAGTCTGCAAACTCCCTTCGCTTAGCCTATATTTCCAAATGTTAGCTTCAGAGATTCAGAGATTCCTGGCCCCAATAAATGCGCATCTTTAATAAATCCGAACACAGATGTAGTTCCGGCAAAGATACGCATCCAAGTAGATCCAAAACTCACCCGAATATCCCAGAATCCGTAACGCTCCTCCAAACTCAGGTACGGGTTTCGCGCTCCGCCATCGCGTTCGATCTCACCAGCCCATTCACGCCAGCTAATCGGCTTCAACTTCTGCGCGCTTAGGACCAGTCCGATTGAAACAATAAGTACGGAAACGAGGGTCTCGATGATAATGTCTTGTGGGAGGGCGGTGGATGTGTTGTTGCTGTAAAGGACAGTGTGTTCGTGGGCCGAGTAGCCTCTGCAGAAGGGGTTAGCTTTGCTCGAGAGGGAGTGTACTTATGGGATCATTGAAGAACGTACGCATGGGCTATCAGGACGAGGCCGAAGAAAGTGACCAGGCGGGAGAGGAAGCTCATGATGGGTGGTGAGGTTGGTTTTTGGTTGCGGGTTAAGGTTCGGTGGTTGGGCCTGGTCGCTGCGGATTTCTCGTGTCGGTGGATAATCCTAGATAATTTCCACTAGTTTATTAAGATGAGGCCTGAGGTCCCTGGCTGTGGACGGTGGTGTGGTGCCGTTTGATACGTTGGCGGGAGGTTCGTGGAGGCCCCGGCCTCATCCCGCGGTTTACCTAATCAGTTTTTGACTGGCTCAGATTTCATCACATTTGCATTTCTTTATGTGTTGAATGACTATTGGAAATGATTGACGATTCTCTCTCTGTGAGGCCTTATCTAATTAATAAGAGGGATATCTTACAAGGTTCTAGTCTACGTGTTCATGAACCTTGTCCCCATTCCTTGTGATGTCAACCCCGAACCTGGACCCCGATAGATTACCCCATAGTCAACGAACATGCTAGGGTAAATTGATGGATCAACCGGTATATTTGGCTGGCTATCAGTACAATCTCCCTATATACTTCTTTTCTGTGGATTCTACGGCGCCAATGGGCAACACACACTCTATCAGCTCCTAAGCGAAGGTTTCACTGTTTAACTCTGCTGTCCAACCCCGACCTTCTTCGCCAGCCTCTGTGATAGCCAAAAGGCTTTGATTTGTCTGCAAGCTACATCAGCTTCGGTGGATACGTAGATAGCTTAAAGTCTCACCACGCAGATAGAGAATATGGTTCAAGAAAGAGAGGGGAAAGAACGTTTGATAGCGCCTTGTAAGACTTGTCAGCCGGTCTAGAACTAAGTTAGAGTATCAAGATCGAGGCTCTCTTAATTACTCAGTTCATACTATATACAGTAAGTATACTTATACATGGCATGAGGGGGGAAGAAACATAAAGAGCATATTCCCTCGGACACTTCTGATAATTTCTTTCATAGAAACAATCAAATTCAGCTCTACTAGTTCTCCCATAATAATCATGTCCCTTTGGTCTCTTGATATGGCACAATCACAAAACGATATATATACGTCCTCTCCTCATTTTTTCGATGGTCAAGTTAGGCAAACCACAGAGCTTGCGCCTCGATATAAAGACCCTCCAAATACCCCGATCCCTCGACCTGTACAGTCAATCACGCCCGATGCTGATCAGCTAGAACAGCTGCTTGTTGGACTTATCGGCAAAGTACAGCCTTTCGGCCCATCTTCTTCTCTGCGATCAGCACCAAAAAACACAGCTGGTGAGTATTACTGTTGATGTTGTTATCAAAATACGATATATATGGCTAATATTAGTCAAATAGGGCAAAGGATCGAGGTTTAGGTCAAACTATAAGATTCTTTTCGGATTTCTTTGTTATTCTGTTCGAGTCGGCTATGTAGGTATTGCACAAGGCGCGGTGGATAGATATATCAAGGCCTCAGGGAAAAGAAATTGATTAACACCCATCAATTATTCTTACCAACAGTGTTTGTACAAATTGATATTCAATGGATTCTCAAGTTCGTCTTTGTCAATGAGAATATAGATATAGTCACACGTAGGTACCATACTATTCAGGTAGTTATCTGGAGTTGAAACCATTTTAATGAGGCATCCACAAAATAAGAATGACGAGACAGCGACGTCAATAGAAATGGCGCTATTGACTAGACTATGTACACGGATGTGTGATTTCATTCCTGAGAATATTGATTGGTTAGAAGCTAGAACTTGTGTTGATATACGAGACATCACATCGTCAAAGCCAACATCTGTCCGCTAAAAAAATCTGCTGAGCTATTACCCCTGGATTCGGTAGGTAGGCCAGAGAGGACATAGGGAATAAGGAGCTTAATTCGAATAATTTACTACGTATTCAAGGGCAAAATATGGTTGATATATAGTTGGGTCATGAATTTTTTGAATTTTTCATCAATGACCGGTCACTAGTGGACCAGCTTTCTAGTTGGACTAGGTTCGTAAAGGATTCCTTTGACATCACGCATTTCCATCACACAATTCCTGCTTCATAAATGGGCATCGCAAATTTACAGCTTCTGCATGGCAGCGATGTCAGTGGACTGGACGTGGTCCTCATCCTCCTCAATCGTCTGCTGGAGCTCATCAGTGGAGACCTTCTCGTCCTCAACAACAAGGTTGATCTGGAGCTTCTTGATACCGAAGCCGACGGGAACCCACTTGGAGGCACCCCAGACGAGGCCGTCCCACTGAATGGCGCGGACATTGGCCTCCATCTCCTCGAGAACGGTCTCATCATCTGGAAATGTCTGTTAGCAATTGAAATAAAGAAAGACCGGAAAATACATACCCCAAGGCTTGACCTCAAGGGTGACGAGGGACTTAGCGGCGGGCTTAGTCTTAAGGGCCTTCTTGGCCTTGTACTCCTCGAGACGCTTGTTGCGCTCAGCAACAACCTCGGGGTCCTCCTCCTCAGAGTCGGAACCGAAGAGGTCCTCATCCTCATCCTCCTCCTCGGGCTTATCCTTGGGGTTGGAGGGGAGGTCGCGGGTCTCGGGGCCGTAGGTAGTGAAAGCGGCAGAAGAGTCACCGGGGAGGGTGGGGAATTCGCTCTCGTAAGAGGCGATGTGCTTGTACCAGCGGGCAACGTGGGGGTACTTCTCAGCGTCAGGGGCGGCGCTGAAGGCCTTGAAGGT